ATAGATGAATGGAAGAATCCTCTCTCCGTAGATGGATAAATGAATGGATGCATCGGATTTTGTTCCATAGCAATACAACCATAGATATGACAATACGTTCCGTACTAATCACGTAGAAGGAAACGTGAATATATCTACTCTTTGTTGTACTCTTTACTCTTATTTACTGTGTATATCGTATACCAACCACACCATCGTGATCCTTCTAGATCTCTCCATCTTCCATCCCCTTGCCATACCTCCCACTCCAAACCCGCTCAAGCTGTTTGGGTGGAGAATATTGATCGTCTAGGGAGTATTTGTTCTTCAATCCTCTACCATCGAGTCATATAATTCATTCACCGATACCTCCGTCTCCATCTCCTTTCGTTCACGAGAAAACAACTTCACAATCACCTTCATCACGATTTAAATTCTTCACCAGAGGTACTTTGTACCAATTGCGCTCGTTATTAATAAGGACTTTACTTAATCCTTGTAGGTTTTAAGCTTCTTATCTGAAATACAATCCCAATCCCCATATTACGCTTTATGCCATTGCGCATCCATCTTGAAGGAACAACAGGGGCGATACGGCATCTTGGCTAAAGATTAGAGAAGGGGGAAAAGGAAAGAAGGAAGAGGTAGTTGTGATCAACAGAGCTTTTTATTTCATTCCGAGAAGAGAAGCAGAAGGAGACAAGAAACACGCGATCAATACATTCTTTCATCGATAAGAAGACTATTTTCAATTCAATCTCGACAACTCCATTTGGTGCGAGTGTCATCCCAAGACATCTACGGATCTTTCGGACCTTACGGACTTCAAACCTGGGGGAAATTCAAATTCTTATTGAGCGACTTACACCTTTGAACAATTTATTGGACAAGATAACATCAACAATATGGCTACCAATTCTTCAATGAGGATAGGAAGTTGGTTATTATTCTTTCTGGCAATTTCAATAACAGATGCGTTTTACATACCAGGTATGTCTGCCGCTTTCTGCCATACCCATCCTATCCCGTCTCATCCCCTGATCTGCTAGATGTTGAACTCCGGATTACAATCTAACGGTTCTCCCATTGTGTAGGCTGGTCGATTAAAAGTTACAAAGATAGCGAGGCAATCCCTTTGCTAGTCAACAAGGTTTACTCCGATAATACACAATTACAATATGCCTACTACGATCTTCCATTCGTCTGTCCTCCAACCGGTGTCCGTCATGCCGGATCTTCCCTACTCAGCGGCCAAAGTATATCATTGAATCTCGGCGAAGTCTTACGAGGGGACAGAATCACACAATCCGATATCGAGTTGGTTATGGGAAAGGATCAAGAATGTAATTTCCTCTGTTCCAAAACGGTCACCCGAAGAGATCTTAAGCGCGCAAAAGAATTAGTTAAAGATGGATATGTTGTGGAATGGATTGTGGACAATTTACCTGGAGCAACGAGTTTTGTGACAGCAGATAAAAGTAAGAAGTATTACGCTGCTGGATTCAAATTGGGTTATAAGGATTTTTCCCAAACTGGCAAAGCGAGATATTTCATCAACAATCATCTTACAATCGTTCTCCGATATCGAAAAGCTCCAGGAAAGGATGGAGAAAAGGGTGGAAAGGTTATTGTTGGATTCGAAGTTTATACCAAGAGTGTTGGACCTGATAACAGAGTGGAATCGGGATGTCCTGCGGATTTAAATGATGTCGATACACCATTTGAATTATATCTCGCCCCGAATCATACCGATCCTTCATCCGCCCTCGCATACCCACTTTCATCATATCATCCACCGGAAAAGGAAATAGATTTAGATGATGGAGCTACAATGGAGATTCCATACACCTACTCTGTCTATTTCCGTGAGGATGAAAAGGTCGAATGGAGAAATCGATGGGATCTATACTTTGTTAACCAAGAGGAAGGATCAAGAATTCATTGGTTGGCTATTGTCAATTCTTTGATTATTTCAGGTCTTCTTAGTGGCATTGTTGCTATGATCTTAGCCAGAACCGTTCGAGGAGATATTAAAGCATATACAAAGGATGTCTCGGGAGAAGATGGAAAATTGAAACCAAAAAGAAGATCTAGACCTGGTAGTGGAGCGAGATCACCTAAAACGGGGGAAAAAGTTGGACTTGGTTTGTTGGATCAGGTTGATACTGAGAATGATGCCGACGTTTCTTCTGATGATGAGCAACTAGAAGATATTACCGGTTGGAAATTACTTCATGGAGATGTTTTCCGTCCACCTCCTTATGGGTATCTTCTAGCACCATTGATTGGATCTGGAATGCAACTCGTTTTCATGGCCTTTGGATTACTTTCTTTAAGTAGTCTAGGTATACTGAACCCTAGTTTACGTGGTGGATTCATCAGTGTCGGAATCGGTCTTTTCATCTTCGCAGGCGTTTTCTCCGGTTATTTCAGCGCGCGTGTTTACAAAACATTTGGAGGTCTCAATTGGCGCAAGAATACGCTAATCACAGCGATTCTCTTCCCCGGTCTTCTCTTTTCTCTAGTCTTCATCCTCAATTTATTCGTCTGGGCCCAAGCATCTAGTACTGCCCTTCCATTCGGTACCCTCATCGCACTTGTATTTCTATGGCTTTGCATCCAACTCCCTCTCGTCTATGCCGGTTCTTACTACGGTTACATGCGTTCCGGAGCATGGGAATCCCCAACAAAAACGGCTATTATCCCTCGTCAAGTACCAATTCAACCTTGGTATATCCGTTCTACCTCTTCAATTCTCCTGGCTGGTCTCATTCCTTTCGCAGTAATCTTCATCGAGCTTCTTTTTGTCTTCCAATCACTTTGGCAAGATAAGAGTGGTTATTACTACGTATTCGGGTTTCTCTCACTCATCACTCTTCTTCTCATGATCACCATTGCGGAAGTCACAATCGTTACCATTTACATTAAACTTTGTGCTGAAGATTACAATTGGTGGTGGCATTCTTTCCTTGTAGGAGGTGGATCAGCAGTTTGGGTTATGGCATATTGTGTGTGGTTTTACATGAGAAGGTTGCATATTGAAGGATTTGTCAGTGGAATGTTGTTTTTTAGTTATTGTGGAGTCGTGGCTGTTACTTATGGATTGGCGACGGGAACAGTAGGATTTTTGACCAGTTTTTGGTTTGTGAGAAGGGTTTATGGGTGAGTTATTCAAAGTTTTCTTTTTCTTCCCTGTCTGGTGTAGGTATCACATGGTGCTTATCCTTTTTTTTTCCAAAAGAAAAAGGAAGAACGGATGATATGTTCGCTTATGGTAAGGTTGATATCATCGAGAATATGAAGCTAATAATATGACAGTGCGATTAAAGCAGATTAATAATACGAATAAATACGAACGAATAAACGAGTGGACGTATAAATTCTACTTCCGATACCATTGTTTCATTTCTTGGCGTTTCGGTTTGGATGGAATGGGATGGAATAGGATTAAGGTTGGGAATAGGAATAGCAATTGGAGTTCAGTTTTATGTGAGAATTGGGAGAGGAGGGAGTAAAGGAGAACTAGAGGGTAGAGGAAAGAAGTAGAGGAAGTAGAGGAGGAGATAGGACATTAGGAGAGGGGGAGAGGGGAAGTGAAGATCGGGGCTGAGGAGGATTAAGTACATGTACATATACATCTGTATGTACAAGAAATAGCGAAGAATAAAACAATCAATTTAATACAACTTCTATTGATGGATGGTGAATGTATGTATGTATGCATTGTAAGATACTTGATTTGAGGCGAATCTCAAGGTGAGGAGGAGAGGAGTAGTAAGGAAGGTGAAATGAGGGGGTAATGGGATTTGTTGATCATTTTGTTGATGAGGGAGACGGGGGGGTGTAATGGAATGAAACGGGATAGGAGAAGAAGAGAAGAGAAGAGAAGAGAAGGGAATTCAAATTATTATTTGCTTGTTAGTATAGTATATTGGATACAATAGATCGATGAGTTTGGTAAAGGGAAGGGAAGGGAAGGGAAAGAAATGAGAGATGAGATGAGATAAGGAATGAGGAATGAGGAATGAGAGATAGGATAAGAGATGAGAGATGAGATGATTATTAGGGAAAATTCAGTTATGAAGAAGAAGCTGGGTTTTATATACCTAGTGATAAATTGTTTACTTAAGTCGGGGATATATAAGTAGATAGTATAGATACCTAGTTTAGGGAGGGTGGTATGGTTTTGAGCTTTGGAGTGAATTATCGTAGCGATCTGTATAGAAATGTTGATTTGATGACTGTCGCGAATTCGATGGCACGGCTTGAATGGTATGAGATATCTTATATCGTATTTTGTGTACAAGAATCCGTTTGGTTAATTGAGTACTTTGTATGGGAGATTCGGTGCGTAGCTATGGAAACAACTACCACAACTGGAATGTCGAGAAATAGACCAGATCGGATGGCTAGTTGTCTAGACCAGAGGAAACATGGGGGGGGAATTTAATACCCGCGTCTCTGTTGGACTACGATCTTGACTTGAGGAGGTTTATTAAAATTTCAGAAACGGTATCGAGTATTGTAGAGAAGAGAACTGAACTCAGAAAAGTGTAATCTTAGGGAAATGGAGGTTTTAGGTGGAATGTTTTGAGGGTATTGTGAAGTCTGTACATAAGTATTGGAAGTATAGACTTCTTCTGTATCTCTATGAGTTCCTGCCTCTAGTTTTGAGTTCCTGTGTCTCAAGTTGCTCTTAGATTTGTATATCTCCTCTCAAAGGTGATGATTTCCAGTTCTATTCATTCGATATCTAGTTCCCATTATCGCTAAACAACTTCTTCTTACTCCCCCCCCAATCCTTGATACACAAACCCAATCACCTCAATCACCTCAATCACCTCAATCACCTCAATCACCTCAATCACCTCAATCACCTCAGCACTTCACCCCCCCATGCCCCTCACAAAACTCCCCATGCCCCTTCCCCTTCCCCTCCAAACACCCCTGCACCCCACAACTATGCAAACCACAGTAAACTCTCCCGCCCGTAAAATCCTTCAAACTCAAACACTCCCCCATCAAACACTCGTGCAAATCGCAAAATCGATTCGTGCGCGTGCGCATCCGTAAACAGTTGTCCATGTGGCATTTATGCCCGCTGCAGTATTTGGAGGGGAGGAATTGCGGGGAGGGACACTTTGGGAAAAGACATTTGTGAGAGACGCAGGTAAGGGAGGAGTGGTGGCGTGGGGTGGAGCAGGATTTGAGGGTGCAGGGGGAGTCTATGTGGATGGGAGAGGGGGTTAGTTTTTTGGGTTTTGGGGATTTGAGGGGAGGAGAGGGGGAGGAGAGGGGGAGGGGAAGGGGACTTAAGGGGAATGCTACGTACGTTTTTCACACCACTATGTATCGTAGTTGAGCATTTGCTCGGGGCATCCTTCTTTGCGGCATAGATCTTTGAGATGATCAGTATAGATTGGGATTGAAAGATAGATAGATAGATAGGAGTGAGGGTATACATACGTTGATCGCAGAAAATGGTTCCGAGTTCTTTGGCTCCTTTGCAGCGTCTTTCTCCGCGGGGTTGCCAATGACAGGGCATTTTGGAGTTGAGGTGGTTGATTGTTGGTTGGTTCTTTTTGGGGGGAGTGGAATGGGAGTTGGGAAGAATGAATACTTGAGGTTTGATTCTTATAAAGGATGGAGAGCGGAATTGACGGTGAGGTGAGGTGAGGCAAGAAATTTTTGGAGTGATCAAGTGCTGATTGTAATGGAAGAAGGAAATTAGTCCAGCTAAAGTGAGGGTCGGATTTTAGATTACTTGCGTGTATGGGAAGTGAATATGTATAGAGAAAAATGTATTTATTTCGTTTCAGTTACTAGCTATATAACTTTGAGATTAGACATTTTCATTCACTTCCATTGATAGTTGGTGAGTTTCCGAACCTAATTTACACGGCCATGATCTTCATAAAGATTTGCTTCCTTCATTCTAGATGTTAAACACCCTGATATAGCACAATTATGAGACAGACAAAATATTCTCCCTCTATTTGATTCCTTCAAGTTTAGACAGTGTGAGCCAATGGCGCATTTACGGAGGTCGCAGTATACGCGATGGTCTGCATACCTTTTCCTCAAGCACCCATCAAAATGACACTTATGGCTTACACAAGATCTTGAGAGATCGAATTGGCAATTACCACAAGTAAGTTCTTGACAATTGTGTGCAGTACAAGTTATCGTCTTGCCAAATCTCAAGGAATAATAGTTGTATCTGATGTATGTTGAATCTAAGGGAAATACATCAGTCTTAAATTTCATTCTGACTTGACAGAAAGTGAATCCTTACGCTCTGAACACCATGGAATGTTAGCACACTTCAGCTTGTTGCAATTCTGATCGTGGTATTTATCTATCTTTTGATCAGTATCGAGGGCGGTATTCTGAATAGGGGGTCACCAAAAGCTGTAATTGGGCACTTACGGTGAGAGCAGTATTTTATTCCATTACCTATAGCAGGTCTGGTGCATTGAGTCTTGCTACATTTAGTCGTGCTGCCGCCAAGCTGTTTATCTATTCCCACGATCAACATATCGACCTAGTGATTTACATCTCTATTTAACGTTCAAAGCAAAAAACTTAAGTTCAGAACAAAAAGTTGAGGGAAGTTCAATAAAATGGCCACATCTTGCACATCTGTCTATCTCAATGATCAGTAATTTAAAATTTAGAGAATAGAGTCCATAAAAAGCTTGACTGGGAGATTATGGGCTTGGATGACGTACGCTGAATGCAATAAATATTTCCTGGAACTTTCGCCCTCACGCAACTTAATCCTCCTTCTGAATATCTGTTCCAGTGACATGGCATATTCTCCAAAGTGGGTAATGGGTGATGAAATTTAAACTCCGCGGAAGTAACCGAATGATGCTTAGGATAACTCGGTTGTTGATACCTGTTCTCTGTGAAGACGAGATTGATGGTGAAGTTGATCGAGCGGGAACAATAGTGTATTCAAAGGGAAGAAAAATCAATAGCCTCTCGAGAGTGCGGGGAAAATCCTGATTCCACGTTCCACTGCAACTTAATTCGACATCGTTGCATATTGAAATAACGTATTCACTAACACCAAGCCTTGCGATGCATATGTAGATAGCCACGAAATGTACATATATTCTGAGAATGACACCACAATCGATTTCGGTGCATGAGAAATCTACAAACGAAGGCGATACAGCAGGATTGATGCGGTGCGGTTTGGAGGAATGAGGTCGTTAAGTGGTTGTAACTTGTAAGGTTGACTGGTTGTGAGATGGGGAGGAACGGTTTAAGTTGATGCTTGAGGCTGTCGACTGCTATTTGTGGATCTAGCTTCAAGAAGAGAGCTAGTGCTCTCGTAGTAATACTGAGTGGTTATCGAAGGTGGTGGTTGGAATGATCATGTGCTATATACTTCTAATGTGCTGTCTGATAAGCACGTGGTTGTACATACTCAGACTTCAAGACTTCAAAGATGTGATGAGACGTAGAGGTTCTCGGCAGTGGAATTTGTGGAACATGGAGTTAAGGATATTCTGTTCAATTCTGTTTGAAGTATGAAGCTTTGCAGTCTTCCCTAGGTATAGAATGATGTGCTTTCTCTTTCCTCGCTTGTCTCCTTAATCGACGAAACTACACACAAATTACCAAGGGAGGTTTCGAAGTACAAAGCCATTAGATCGTATTTTGATAAATTGTTATACCTAGGCCTACAGCCTCTAGAATATCAATCAAATCTATCATAATTGCAAATATGACACAACAATTAGAACAGCAAGGTTATTAAAGCGAAGACCATAAAGGGTTTGTTAACCGATGAGATATACAGATTTGACTGAAGCTAGAATATATATATATATATGTATACCCTCATCAATCTATTCCCAAGCACTAACCAGAAACTTCGTGAAGGTAATCGTCACAACATCCATCATAAAACATAACAGCTTGATATTTGGACCGTCTTTTGGATATCAAAGTCATTGGAGATGTTAAAATCATTTCAGATTTAACATCCGACGTAGATAGCTATTTTAATAATTAGCAACAATTCAAATAATCGATTTCTTGTACAAAAATCAAAGAAGGAAGAATAGAAAAACCTACCATTGGCATAAAGAGCGTAACTATCAGCGTTTAAGACAGCTCTTGCACTGGTCAAAGCAGTAGCAGCTGCATATCCGTAACCGTTATCAGCAGTTCCTGGGCTGTAGGTAGCAGGTGCGTGAGTGAACTCATGGAGAGTGGTTGTAGCTCTATCTTGTGCATGGCAAGTGCCTGAAAGTGTTGGAAGAGCAGAGTAGTAGATAGGACAGTTGACAATCTCGTTGGTGGATGGGATGGTGTAGGCGAGAACGTTGGATTCACAGTATCCGTATATGTCAGTGCAGTAGTACTTGGTAGAACCAGAGGTGAGGGAACTACATTGGGAAGCGACAGCGCTAAGACGAGCTGCTACGACGGAGCGGGTGCTAGCTAAGGTTGTCTTGAAGTATTCGCTGAACTTGGTAGCGGAGCCTGATGATGCGGCTGTGGAGGCTGCTCTAGCAAGGGAAGCACAGTAGGAAAGTGCTTGGGTGGTTTGGGATCTTTGGGTGGTGGAACAACCTGATTGAAGGACAGTTCTGCGGTCGATGGAGGCTGGGATAGCCTTTGCGACGGATTTGGCGGCTTCACCATCGACGGAAACAGTGATGGCATTGGACTTGAAGATGATGGAATCACTAATTTCGGTGGACCCAGCTTTGGCAAAAGGAATGGCACCTTCAGCTACGAAAGTGTAGGTTGAGGTGGAGAGATCGTGAACCTCGGCTGCGTTGAACGTAGTCTCGAAGGTTTCACCTGCTGCAAGAGTGTGGAAAACCTCTGGGGCCAAGTCTGTGCGTTGAATGGAACGAAGAACTCCCTTGAATGGAACGGCAGTTTCTTTTTTATGTTAGCTCTTGATCTTTGAACATACAAGACATGAAATACCGAGAACAGCTATTCATGAACTATATTTTGAGCAATCAAAATACTGGAAACTTACCGCCTTCATAAACGTTGACCTTTTGAACTGGAGCAGTGTCGAAGAGAGTTCCATAGCTCAAAAGGTTCAAGTCTTCAGTTCCAACATTCTTGACAGAAGCATGAACTAAAGCATTATCACCAGCAACCAAAGTGACTTCGAGGACATCATTATCTCTAGAAGCATTGTTAGTTTGATTTTTGCTATAGCGATCATCAAGACTCGGATGTTTCGAGAAATTCGAGATGTCCGCGATATAACAAGTTGATTTTCTGAGTTGTCGTCCCAAATGAGGTGAATATCCCCAAATGAAATGCGCCAAAAATATCAACTTGCAGCATGAATTCGGTGTATAAGACCATTCCTTGCTGAACAGAAACCCAGAGAATGAGAAATTGGAAAATTGGAAGATTGTAACTTGCCTCTTTACAGCTGCAGAGTTGGCGATGGCAGCTAAACTGGCAATCGCCAAAATCTTGGAGAAAGTGCGCATATTGAATTGAATATAGGGATGAGAAGAGATCAGAATGATGCTATCTTTTCAGAGACTTGAGATGCTGAAGATGATGATGAGTTACTCGAAGTTGAAGGAAATCGACCCTTCATATATAGACACTTCTAAGACTAACCATCGTTCCTTTTCGAACTGTTGAGTTCGGAAGACTTCTCCCGCCGTAGAATACGGTACATAGATCTTTGTAGTCATAAATGGAAGGTAGGAGTAACTGATAAGAATAATTCATCTATTGTCTTCAACAGATCGTCATTTCACATAATTTCTCGGCCGAAATTCGAATCTGCCTGCCTCATCGGTGAACTGCACTGGCGTTCTCAAGCTCCCATGTGATGATGAAGAATATAATTCCACTCATGATCCATGTGCTTGCCTCTGAATACGATGCCAATGCAATGAATGATTGGAAGTATCTTTCAGAATTATGATTAGTGTGCTCAAGTATCGTGAATCAAACTGTCGTTGTTGTCAAGATGAATGAACTTTTAACCGAGATAGGAAGCTAGAGAAATTTGTTACTAGATATCAGGCCAAGACATCCTACTGTCTAAACTCAGTAAACTCGGAATCTACCTAGCCGTATTAAGCCTAGCATTTCGCCAATCTCCCTAGTCAGATCTTTTGAAATCCAATTTTTTTCTACTTTTTCCAATGATTCATATATCAAAAGCACATAAATTATAGAACCTCAATTTTTATAATCAAAAATGAAAATCCTTTTTAGTTTAATTTCATTGTTATTATTGAATATTATTAGACTTATCAACTTTAGGGTAAATTAATAATTATTGATTTAATAATAATTTATTAAAGTTTTTCAAAATTATTCCTTTCATTTTAGTTTATAAGATAAGGCTTTTATATTAGACTAAATATGACTAGGTAGATTCCAAGTTTATCGAGTTTAGACGATATATTAGAAGCTTTTGGCGATATGCGGGCGCTTGGAATACTGCGGCCAAGCAGTTTGAAATCGATCAACAAATTTTCTATCGTTTTCATGTAAGATTATGCCGTTTCATTAGACGTGAAAGGTAGCACTCGAGCGCCAAGTGAAGTTGAGGTATTAGGCCTCGGGAGTTGAACTTTTGAATGCCTACTTTTGGCAATTGATTGACCATTGACTGCAAGCGACTGAGAAATCCAAGAAAGACCAAGACAATGTGTGTCTTGGCTTCAATGAAGATATGGGCTTGGCGGTTGTCTTTATATATTTGCTGGCTCGATTTCACCTTCTAGAAAGAGATATGATCCTCAATCAAAGCCTCGACCATTGACGAGAGTGTACAAGGGTAGAAAAGAAGCAAAGATGGGTAAACCAATGGAGAGTAAAGTTTTCGAGTGTTTAAGGTTCTTGGACTCGGGATTTCAACAGGTTGATAATGTATCCTCTTGATTAAGATGTTCAGTCATTTATCCGGATCTCGACTTTTTTTTATTTATCTGCGCTCTTATAAATCATGGTCTCTCACTTGTCACTAAACAAGAAGAAAAATCCACTTCAAAGGGACGACAACCAATGAATCATTCCGACATGCAGAACATCTACATTGATCACTCTTGATCTGGATAAGAAACTACCGTTCGGATAAAGTTGTGGCGGGTGCGGGAACAACCCCACACTTCAATATCCGACCTTCTATATTTGAGATAGTCTATCTTGGCTTTTGCCAAACAAAGAGACAATTCTTCATTTGTTGGAGTATCTCATTCCTCATACTCACGGAAAAAGAAATTTTGCGAAATGTTACATCGTCGAGAACAATATCCGATTACTCCATCTCAGCGCAGATTCCCAATAAACCCAAAGCTTATCATTATACTTGTCGCTCTTATACTGTGCGGCTTATTCATCAGAATGGAATCACCCTCGACAAATCAACACAATGTTCCCATTCAAATATCAATCTCAGACATTACTACAATCGACAGCGAGCCACAAGATTCACCAATCATCAAGCTGAAAGTTACACTACGTAACCCATCAGATCAAACTGTATCCTTTCTCAGATGGTCTACCCCTTTCGACCTACGAGCTGTTCCTATGGGAATTTTTGAATTCAAATCGTTGGCCACGAGAGATCTCGCTCCATGTTTAGGTTTAAAACTTAATCGAAAGATGCCACGAGAGGGTGTATTTTCGGATGATGATATAATTACTATCGCTGCGGGTGCTGAAGAAACAAAGGAGATCGAGATAAAAGCTCCAGAAGTTGTACTAAAGGGTGGTGAGAAGTATGTGGTGAAAGCGAAGGGTTACTGGATGCATGTTCTGGTTGGGGATAGGGAAGAAGCAAAGAAGACAGAAGCCAATGTTCTGAGAGAGGACTATGAAAGTGAAGGGGCGGAATTTGAAGTATAAGATGGTGAGATCCCACAGGTCTGCTTTGATGCAATTTTGTTTGGAATGTCTCTCGGATGCTCTATTGTTCTTAAAATTTGCTTGATATAGTTGATTCAAGCTTCGAAATTCTGGGAGGAAAATGTAGTTGAAGGGGTACTATGAAGATCAGCCACGAATAGATCCTTGTATTTCCTCGATTTCTTCATTTCGAGGTTCTTCAACTGATTCATTGCAAGTGAAGATGACGAGTAGAATCTCTCTACTATTTAATATAATAAAAGAAGACATGATACCTCTAAAAGTGGTGGAAATGGCAAAAAGAAGCAAGAAAAACTAAAATATACAACAGTTGGGGGTCGCTGGTAGTCACCTATCCAGCTACTAGCTTCGTCGATTTGAGGCTTGTTGATAGCAGAGCGGATAGGATGACCAATTTTCCTGAATCTACCATACACCAGCTTCAACTGAAAGTCCGTATACGAAACGGTAACGGGAGAAGAGGTGAATCACATGATTAAATCTACCAGGCCCGCATCCAGGTATCCCGAATACTGATTCCAGTATTGTACACTACACATCTACTAGTATTCCTCTATCGCCCTCGCCATCACACAATTACCCTCCTGCAACCCAGTTAACGAAGATCTTTGCACTTAATCTGATTTCAATTTCCTTACTATATCCTGTAGATAGTTTCCCTGTTGTACTTTTCCAAGTGGAAAATTGTACATATATGTATACTTAACTTCAAACCGATTTGCATTGACAAAGTTCCCCATGACCATTAGCTGCGAAAAACAAGATCAGCGATATCAGAATTTAAAAAAAAATAGCAAGAGTTATATAATCTTTCAAATACAAACCATCTACCTCTCCGTTAATTTTCTTTTTCATCACTACTTCAATCATAATCTCAGGTCGTTTCGCTCACTCTACTTTAAAGCTTCACCACCGGACCTAAAATAAGATGAACATCATTTCATCTACAAATTAATGGTTTCCCAATAACCTATTCCACCACTATACCCGCTCTTGCACGGTACTCTCGCGACTCCTTAGAGCTCAACACATAATCTCTGGTCTACCACTATTCTCAGAAGATAATCCACTTCATAAGTTTCTCCCGCCTTCAAGCAAGATAATGGTGATGCATAAAGACATGGATCCGCAATGGTACTAGCCCTAATCTCTCCAGTGGAGAATATATCAAGTCCAATGCGTACCTGGGTGGTGAAAGATTTCCCGGGATACATATTCACCATATCATTATCGGGATTGATAGTAATTTTGGTGGTAGCTAAACCGATGTTCGTGTAGATTTTGGATGATTGTCTACCAGTGTCTTTATGAGTAAGACTGTAGGGACTGCTGACGGGATTTCCTCTGTCGGGTGCTAGGAAAATATCATTGATATTGACTGTAATGGTTTATGTGGAATCTGTGAGGATAATTGTAAGATCGATGATGACGGGCTGTTCACGGGACTTTGAGAGTGAAGATGAAGGCGACCAAACTGATGCTGTAATTAGGAGTTTGGGTTTTGTGTAAAGTTGCCATCGCTGGCCGTTGAATCGATGAGGATATTTGTTCATTTTTTGATGAAAATGTAATGAAGTTGACTGAGTGGAGTCCGATATAAACAAACAAAAGAATAATTGGATCTGTAGATGATGCATGCTTTAAACACGTACAATATATATATACCTAGCACATATAAGCCAATTGCTATAATAATGCAGGCGGCGCAACCGAACAATGACACTGGTATGAGACGGTGATTCGTCTCTTTGATTAGGTTCTTACTGACTGCTAGTGCGGCAGGTGAGCGATCAGACATCCCAGCTCATATCTTTCGTCGTCAACTATCCGTCTTTAATTAGCCAACAGATGGTCCAGACAACACGAAAAAGGATGCACTCGCCCAAGCGTTTGAAGACATGGTATATATTGTAAACCAGGGCCTCAACAGCAATACGGCTACACACAATACTATTTTTGACAAATACTTCCTACCCGAACATAAAGATGCCGTCAAAAAGGTATTCCAAATATGATTGTACCAGCCACCAATGATCCCCCGAGTTTCAACAGGCGCCGATATATCATCTGCTATCGATGTTCATCCAGAAGACCATCTAGTGACCATGATAAAACAATGTAGCGGACTGAACCCTAACAAGAAACCTCTTGCATATACCAACCAACAAATCGATCGACGGACCACAAACACAAATGCACTTCTGCGATACCAATGCTATGATGCTTATGCATGCATACCCAAAATTTGACGATATAAATTGCGGCACACCAATAGATCTCTTTGTATCGTATCGTATAAAATGCTTAGTCTCGGTTGCTACCTACTTCTCCACGAGCTATACTTCTTCCCTGATGACATCAATCGAAAGCTGATTATTCAAGCCATATCAACAAAGTCAGCCAAGCGGCAAACACGTCTTCCGAACAGAAGGAAAATGTAGTGGGTGATCACCAGTACAGTCCTTGATATCAAGACAGCTGCGCTCGACAATGGCAGCTTCATCACTGGTGATTGTAAATGCTTGGTTCGCGAATATACGACCGAATCGTATAATTTCGGGAAGGAGAATAAATTGACCGTTGTATAGGAAGTCTACTGGTCTAAATCGGTGTGGTCATGGTTTTGCTATACCGAGAGATAATGTGGCTACCCCACCGGGAGCGTGTAACATTCCTAGGGTAAAAAGAGGGATGGCCCTGCTGAGGGCGATTGCGTTGGCTATTAGCTGTCTCAAGGGCAGTGGATAGTATGGTGTTACTTATGCGGAACGATCGATGCAACTGTCTGGAGATATACCTATATAAATGTCATCATCTTAGGAGACAGAGTTCAGTTTATTCTCTGTAATAAAAAAAGTTATAATATTCAAACCTGGTGAGATGGCAAAAAGAAGCAAAAAGATAACATACAACAGTGGGGATTCGCTGGTGGTCACCCACCCAACTACTAATCCACCGATCTGAAGCTTGTGTATGGCAGAGCGGACGGGATGCCCAATTCTCTTCAGTCTATGGTCGTATGTGACAGAGGACACATTAGATGTTGTTATATTGTAGATTCTCGGCATCCAAGCGATGACGTGAACATACAAAGGAAGTAATGCTTGATATTGCTCACAGAACTTTCTGTGGAAAATGAACGATAATGCTATGTATTGCCCAAATTTCAAAAAACAAAAAGCACACAGTGCACAGTGAATTTATAAAGCTCTGTGGTCAGCATGTAAACGGTAATACTTCAATTGAGTGGTGTTGTACACATCTTAATCCTTACATCTCTGACTTTCCCCAACTCACGGACTTAGCCTTTGAATATCCCATTCTCCATCCTCTTTCTTCTCATATCGAAATCGATCATGCAACCTACTATCTCTCCCTTGCCAAAACTCGACCATCTCCGGTATGATTCTTAACCCTCCCCAAAACTCCGGCACTGGTATCTTCTCCTGACCCTCGAATCTCTTCTCAACCTCCTTAACCCTCTCCTCCAATTCCTCCCTTCCCTTCAATACCTGACTCTGCGGACTAGCCCAAGCACCAATCCTACTACCTCTCGCCCTCAAGTCATAATAGACCTGACTTTCCTCATTAGGTAACCTCTCCACCTTCCCCTCAACTCTAACCTGTCTCTCCAATTCTTGCCACCAAAAGGTAAGACTTGCCCATTTATTCTCCGCAATATCTTTCGCCTTTTTACTCGTGCCCCAATTGCTATATATAACATATCCTCCTTTTGCATCTAATTCTTTCAAGTATACCATACGTGCTGATACGCGACCGGAAGGTAAACTGGCAGTTGAGAGACAGACGGTCTCTGGATGATAAACGCCATTTTTTTGTGCGTGGGAAAACCAGGAATGAAATTGTGTCAGAGGATTGGAATCGAGATCTTTACGATCGAGTGCGCCTTTTACGAATTGATCTGCCTGAGCATTGGTTTTGTCGTTGGCGGGTGCGACTGTGGTATGACTCTTGATTAGATATGTAGGTGGGTAGTGATGGAGGGGTTTTGGTAGAACTTACAAATGAGTTTCGAGCTATTTGGGGGAGGATGAAGGGCCATTTTGAGGAGTGAGGGACGAAAAAGAAGATTCGACGTCAATCTCATGTGGTATACAACGAAATCGATATATCTTTGGAGGTGGGAATGATGAGATGTTCATAAAAATTAATATTATCGTCGTCTCATGCTTGACTCTAATAATGAGGACGGATTATCTTCGGCTAAAGTCGACCTCACCATCTTTCCGTAGCTCAGGATTTTCATTTCACAAACAAGCAGGACTTACGGAAAAAGATATCAATCACGAACACAACTTCAAAGATCTCAAAGATCTTTATTGATTATCAAGTCAAGATTGACGATTCTCTCTTTGTTCTCTGCCATTCCACTCCTCATTCTTTACTCGAGTACAACGAGAGTAATAAGACCTTTGGCGCGGTAAGAATACTTCTTCCCCCCCATGGTCAAGTCTTTCGCACAGTCTTTTGCAGATCCAAGAACGCAGCGTTATAACTTATCGGCAAGGAATTCCTTTTAGAAATCAACTTCAAAGCGTCATCGACCGCCAGTTCGGCTGATGTTATGGCATTTGTTAAATAAATGGGATTTGATAAAACCAGATTTGAATTCCCTGTGCTGATCATCTACATGGGGCAATTTCATCTCATCATAAATCCATAACATCGGACAAAGTTCGAGGTTCGGAATTCGCCACATCGGTCTGCTCTCCATGGCAGTTATACCGGTACTGGCTTGTACTGAAAACTCATACATACACAGAAATATTGGTTCGAGTACTGGTGGAGAAACATACACAAATGATTGCAAAATGCTTACCAAAAAAGCAAGTATCAGGTCCGAAAACGAGTTTTCGATATATCATCAATTAGTGCGATATGATGCAGAATACTTAGCAGTATCTCGATAAGAGATTTAGCTGGATACAGGAAACTAACTCAACGCTATCTCTCGCACCGCCGTTAGGTCCAAAATACAATGAGGACTCTGGGGTTGACTATTAGCTGAGAACGTGCAATATTGTGACCCACGGGGCACAACTTTGTTGCACAGCACCTAGCGACATTCTCATCAAGTCACTAAAAAGATTCTAGGAGATTATACAAGTAGCTATGACGTTAATGTCGAATCGCGAATTCTAGCCTTGTTAGCTTTCTTCATAGAATGGAGCATAACACCTTTTCCCAATACTCACACAGCTTGAGGCGGATTCTCTATGTCCCTCCAGTTTTCTGATATGGAAATTTCGTTCGACTGAGTCCCTTTTGCTAATATTTTATATGCGCGGAACATTTACTCCTCAGAAGGCTTTGTTGACCGTTCCTGGTTCCTGGCGCAACCAGTCAATCGCCCCCTTTATCTATCAAGAGCGGAGTAAATCCCTTTCATCAATCAATCGAATCATTGCTACACAATCTTTGACACCCGTGCATTTTCCACGTTTTAAGGTCTTTTTTTCCCATAACCAAGATTTAGATGCCGATGCCGAGACTAGAGCTTCCCACCGCTTGCGTACCACCATGTACCAAACCGCTTTCTACAGCTTTTCTCCGTCTAATGTGTTGACGTAAAAGATGACATTGGAGATTTCCACGATTTGTTAAAAACTGCTTTTCTTGGAACCAATCAGCAGTTACGATTGTGACACGCTAAGATGTATTTGTTATTTTTCATTACTTCATAGTTCCACAAGAGCTTTCCATGACAAGCGTCATGAAGCTCCTTAGCTTTCTCGTGGCAATCGAATTTCTATATCAATTACTTGTTTTCATTGAGCTTTTGTTTCATTCAAGCAACAATTCCTTGCCTTTTACTTGTTCATTCACATTGAACTTCTAAAATGTTTTATCAGGCAGGCATCACCGCTAGCTTTGTTGCAGCGGTCGCAGCTGTTCCAGCTTCTATCAGCCAAATCAGTGATGGCCAAATTCAAGCTGCTACAGGCGCTCCAGCAGCTTCCGGATCTGCTTCACCATTCGGCGTCTTTTCCTACAATCAACAGCCAGCTGTAAACAGCGCAGCAGTTTCATCAGTCGCTTCAGTTGCTGGAATTCCAGCATCAGAAATTCCAGGTGCCACTGCTCCAGTCGCACCAGTTATCAGTCCTGAAGTCACTGGTGTCACAAGCCATGGCCCATACAGTGGTACACCTACCACCACTGGAGCTTTAAGTACCATCGCACTTGCCAGCGAGGTACCAATCCTGCCAGCTAGACAAGCAGAGACAACATATGTACCAGATGGTACACTTCATGAGCCTCAACCAATTCCATACCAGCCAGCTGGTGGTCTAGGAACCAATGGCACTGAGCCAGTCTATCGTGTTCAGTCTGATTTCGATTATCAATCAATTCTCTTAGGTCTCTATCAAGAGTGGATTGAACTCGATCTCTTCCATAACATTCTAGCCACATTCTCCGAAGAAGAATTCACCGCTGCTGGTCTCACTCCTAGCGATAGATTCCTCATCGAGTTTATGGCCGATCAAGAAGCAGGTCATGCTACTCTCCTTTCGAATTTACTTGGAGGACCAGGAGGTGCAACCCCACAATGCACATACAACTATCCTTTCACTACCGTTACTGAAGCATTTGACTTTACTCAAAAGCTTACTAGATATGGAGAGTCTGGAGTATGGGGTTTCCAAGCTCATCTCGATTCACGTGAAGTTGCACAACTTCTTGACCAATCCATTGCGACTGAAGCTCGTCAACAGATGATTTTCCGTCAATTTGCTGGTCTCTTCCCTATGCCAGTTTGGTTCGAAACTGGTATTCCTCAATCTTGGGCGTGGACTCTTCTCGCACCATATATTTCTTCTTGTCCATCCAACTCCAAGCGTCTTGTCTGGCAGAACTTCCCACAACTTACCGTTCTCAACCAACCAAACATCGCTCGTCGTAATGCCACACAAACTGCTTTCAACGAGACTGCAGGATTTGGTCCTGCTGCACCAAGTGACTCAAAGTTGGCACCAATCGACTCATGTGTCGGTAATAACGTCACTGGCTTTGATTGCTCAGCATCTATCTCCCAAAACCGATCTATCCCTCTTTCCTACCCAGGACGCGAGGTCTACCTTCAATGGGATAACCCCGGTCAAGCCGTTGGACCAAATAACTCTTACGTTACTTCCACCAGCGCTGGTACACCATCATGGGCAATGTGGGTTTCCCAATTAAATGTCACATATTCACCTCTTATGAATGTTTCATCGGCAAATGGTGTTAACTATGCTATGACTATCCAACCGGATGTCTCCACTTATGAGGGTGATCCAGCTATCAACGGTACTATGTTTTTGGCTTTGACCGATACAAATCAAACCTACACTGCTTTCAACTTATCAAATGTCAACCCACATGTGGCTGCTTTGACCATGTACCAAGCTGGTTAAATGGACTTAAGTCCTCGGATCTGGAAAAAAAAATAACGTTTTGTATTATAGTTGCAACTGGTGGATGAGGTTAATGATATGATATGATATGATTTGTGGCGATTACATATAATTCTCCTGTACATTAATATACCGATAATAAAAAAGCGCTTTTGTCTTTTGAGTATTATATTTTGACTCTTGTGCCTTTCACGCCGTTCATGTTTTCTAGTCCCTTGATTTGGTGAAAAATATCACTCCCATGCTACAAACCTTGTCATTCAGTCATGTCTTTACTCAACGGAGTACTGTCGCATTATACAGTTCATTCATTGTAGGAATTGTGAATACTACATAGGTCCGAGATGAGAAGATTCGCGTATGAGTAAGGCCAAATATCATTTTCTATTGTCATTCGTTCGGCGTCTGATCGGCATTACTATTTCTTGTTGACTTTTTATGCCCAATTGACATTTTCGCTATGTAACCATTTCCCTCTATTGTATCGACAATTCGACAAGACATATTTGTTGTCTCTTTTTCACTTCTTTGTCTTTTTTGTTATCTAGAAATTTAGAAGAAGCATTTTTTCGGTTTGATATTTGATCCCTTCTGACTGATTGAGGGGGGCGGGGAAGGGCAAATACTAAATTACTCAGAGATCAAGGGTTATCTAACCGCGAAGAACAAGTAAGCGTTCTAGATATCCGTATATGGTTGACTTTGGGGTTTGTGGTGTAGGAGGGGTGGGGGGTTATATAAGTATGTATACTGGGAATAGGATATGGAGGGGGAGGTAGAAGTGGAAGGAAGGGTTGGTATAGGATTGTGGATTGGTTGAGGTTGGCTGGTTGCAATTCGCGGGGTGGGGATCTCGAAATCTGAAATCTGGAAATAGTTATGCAGATACCTATTATGATAAATCGATCCGAGTGAATCACAACATACTCGCCTTGTACTGATATAAATGACTTCGGGAGCTCACTTGTCACTCTTTTCTTTCACGGAACAATCAAGTTGAATCAACGTGTTGCGAGGTTGGAGGAGGATTATGTGTTTCTTGTTAGATTTCTAGGGGTCTGGTATAGAATAGTTCTTTATGAATTGGTGGTTAAGTCGAGAATTCAGATCACCAGGTCGCTGACGCGATGATTTAGTGGGTTGATTGATGTTGTTGTTGTTTTTGATATCAGGGTTGGTTTGGTTGGGTTCTGTTGGGTTTTATTCTTATTGTTACTGTTACTTTCGCTTCGGATTTTATCGTTGGGTATTTGACGGAAAGAATGAAAAGTGATGAGCTGGCGACCTGTTCGAGCTTTCTCTCAATTTACCTTTTTCTGCTGTGGCGATTTGGTGTTTGGTGCTAGTACGCCGTATATATGTTGAGATGTTAAGTTTAGGTTTACAGAGTTGTTTACTTTGTTCCTGTCATTTGAATCTTCGGGAGTGAATGGGTGTACAGAGCTCCGGTATGAGATTTCTGTGTATCATGAACTTTACTAGGGCTGCTTATTAGTAGGGATTTCCTGGGAGGGAGGGGTAACAGACGTGGTGAATTCGCGGGGGAAGTGGAGTCTCTTCAACATGTGTTACTACCTACGTAGGTACTTGATGATATTCTACCCAAACCAATATCTCAAGGTTCCTGATATATAAGAGCTACCACTATCTCTCACAATCTCCTACATCTTGAATGAAAATCAAGGAAATGGTCTACGATAAGAGAGGACGGCGAGGTGACTGGATGGACTGCGGGTTTAGTGCCATGCTATCAGGGTGGTTTTTTGGAATTTTCTACTGTGATTCTAGGTGTGATATTTGGATCGTCTGAAGTATCTATACCTTCTACTGTGAATACCTAGGGAGTGGGAATTATCGGATCAGATTCCTATTCATTTTATCGTCGCATATTGTTCTCGCTGTCAATTATCAATACTTTTTGAGGCTCTCAAATATTAAGTAGATGAGATTCTCAACACGGCATTTAATACCCCTCAGAACGAGAATAACAAAGCCAAACACTCAGAGATGGTTAAATGCTCCTCAAACCTCCGCCACATGGAACCGTATTGCCATTTACCTACCATCTGTCATCTTGTTTTGAATAATCGGTTCCTTTTCTATTGAGTATGGCCGGGTGTATCCAATCGAAGCTCCTATATTTCAACAATTTGTAAGATTACATTTCGAACCTTCAAGTCTTTATTTCACCAGTAGAGTCTATAAATAGAAGTTTTCTTTCATCCGAATTTCTCGTAGATTATAATAGTTCTACGTAAAAATGGAATAATGGCTTCCATCAACACCAGACTTATCTGACCTCATTCATCAGTATGGTCGGATAATCTACTGGGACTGGCGTGCGAAGGAAATTGGTGTTCCATATCCCGCCTCGTCAGTGTCGTGATCTAGTCGATATCATTCCGGACTTGTTTACTGTCAGAAAACGAGAATGCGTAATCGTCGTCATTAGGTTGTTTTTTACCTTATTCCTTATCCGATTCTATTTCATCCCGCAGGAAACTACCCTTCCGTCATATATCCAAATGCTTAAATCTTTCCTTTCCCTTGCTCTTGACTTCTCATAAGAAAAAGACCTCCATGTAAGTCTCGAGAACATCTCTCACACATCACAATCCAAACCCAGCTCTAAAGTCTTCTAAATTTTGTAATCTCTTACTGTTGATTTCTTCACTTGATAACTAATACCAGAATAAAAATTCATTGCCCCTTTTTCAACTTCGCTAATTATTCGACATGCACCTTATTTATTGTCTGTTTTCGAGCTCGTGATTTTGACACACGCTCTACTCTTTATACGATTTGGAGAAGATTCATGTACGCGTACACATGCACAGCACGTAGCAATGAAAGTGATAAATTAGTACACAGGCACACTAGACAATGGCGCCCTGCAAATTTTTCTTGTGGTTATCAAATGTTTCTTGGTCGATATTTGAAAGCAAGATAGGGTTTATAGTATACTTCATCTGTCTGTCGTATCCTTAAAAAAAGTCGATCTCAAGACTCAGATTAATTTGTAAACAACCGGAAAAATTCAGGGTTTTATTGCAGCACAGCCAGATTCTAGAATAGAAAAAAACTGCAATAAAGCTAGAGATGATAGAAACGTACCCATTCCGCCTTTCGATAAAGTTTTTCTCAAATTTCATGGGTACCCAAGACACCTTCTGTACCTTCAGAAAAAATCTTGAAGGTAGATGGGGTTGTGCACATCTCCCAAATTTTAGCACGGCGGTGGCAAGCATCACTTTCAAAGTCGCCCAACCCGGCACCTTTCCAATAACAGCAATTATATCAGAGGCATCGTATCCAAGAGCTGGCAACTTATAGACAGTACATGGAGAAGCAGTTGGGAATGTTTTCACATCAATGTGATATACTTCAGGTTTTGATCCATTTGATACTTGGTAGTCCGGACCATCTATGGGGTGACCATCTAATCGGGTTCCCAAAGATCGAGGTTCAAGTAATCGAGGTTCAAGTAATTGAGTACCGGAAGATGAGGATGTAGCTAATGAAGGTTCAGGGAATGGAAATCTACCTGAAATCGATATTTTTGATGAAGGTTCAATTGATGGGAGTGGAAGTTCGGCTGGTAATGATCCAACGGACAAAGGTCCAACCGATAAAGAAGTCGCTGTTGAAGCCCTAGTTGATAGTGGGGGTATTGATGAAGAAGCGGTTAATGGAAGGTCGGCTAATTTAAGAGTAACAAATCGACGTCTAGAGAATGCAGAACGAGTAGAAGGAGAAGAAATTGATGAAGATCTCAAAAAGTCTGACATCTTTGATCTATAATTGCTTTTCTCCTGGGAATATTATAGTTGGGGGTGAAGTGATTAACTGCGACGTGACAAAAAAAGAGTGAGGTAGTGAAGGTACAAATTAAGACGTTGGCGGCGATTCGCTTGCAGGCAAGAACGATCAATACAAAATTACCACAACCCATTATTCTTTATCTATGGAATATCATCTTCCAAGTACGATACAAGATAACAATATTCATTCCTAATGTGTAAAGATGCATCGAGCTTTCGATACAACCCGAGTTATTTGGTGGGATCCATCATTAAAAGAATTGATATGTCCTCAATCTCGTAGCCTGGAAGTATGCCCACCCCTTTGCTGTCTTGTTCATCTTTCCATTGACGATAAGCTTACTACATTGTAAGAATTACAGTATTCTGCAATGAAAAACTGGCAATTGAAACTTGTACTTCAATAAGAAGGCAGAGGGTAGTCTCTCATCTATCTTTTTAAGCTTGATTGCCGACCCTCGTTAGCCTCACTTATACATACCGAGTGGGGCCTTTATATCAGAAAGTCCATAGGTTAAGGATACAAAGTATCAGACCGATTGACATATGCAATGCCGAAACTGCGGTATATGGTTAAAGAAAAGGGTTACCGTCATATTTATACTTATTCAAACCCCTTTCCAATGGCTTCAATATCGGAAACCAGTTGTCCCGTTTCCTCAATTTGATGCATTATACCGAATGTCCCATTAAGCTTACAGAACGCATACAATAATGTGAAAGAGGCATAATAGTTATATGTTATATATGTGGTAAGGGACCCATGGATCTTTGAGTGTTGAGGATGCTAATAAAGGGAAGCAATGGAGACGACGACGATGATGATAATGATTTTGTCGCAGACTTTACTGAAGAAAATTACATCGCAATAAAAGACTCAATGTTTCCAATGGATATTCGATGCCAGTTAAAACGCTTCACTCTTTTTCCTTTAATATTTGTGGTATCACTTCTATTTTGAGCGACTATATGCACTAAAGGATACAAGAACTCCAAGAAGTCATGCAAAATTCTAAAACTCACCGCCAAATTCCAAGGGTCCAAGAAACCAGACTCTTGGTGTTTTCTAGAACGATACAGTGATTTTAGCATGGAACTTGAACGGCAACTAAGGATTGATAGTCAGGGCAATGGTGTGTGGCTTTGTTGGCTTGGCTCTTCATGTGAGAAAAACACGCCAGGTTTGATCACTTTGATATCAGTAATTAGATTCTATAAAAATTCAACCAGAAACGAAGTAGATATATTTCATGACGACAATAAGATTCCCCTATGTCTTTATCTACATTTTTTTTAAAGAGATTATTTAATATGGATTTCAAGGGAATGACTCAATCGACAAGAACCTTCGCTAATCGGCAACTGCGACTTGGATTTCCAGTACGTAGACGTCGTAGAGCTTGGGACCATATGTCAAAGAAAGTGTACGGAAATAACCGAATCATAGTCCTTCGATCTCAAGACTTTTCTTTGACTGTTAAACTCCATCCGAATGAATATTCGAGACGAGACACATTCGCGAACAGATTTTCACGCGAGGGAGGCAAAAAAAGAGAAAAAGTTTTCACAACAAACATGACTCGGGGTTTGAAGATCTCACGTGATATGACTTATTCATCGGTGGGGTGATTCCGAGAATCTCCTCATTCATCAACTTTGAAGCAAACCCCCGAAATGTATATCGTCACTGTCGTCCACTCCCACCCGCCGGCATCACGGCACCATCTGCATCAAAGGTGTCAGAAAAGGGGGGGCCCCGAGAATCCAGATTGCACGGAGTACAGTGTTACACCCCAAACTGCATACTCCATTTCTCGTGTCCCATGGGTAAAGGTATCCAAAGTTGGGAGAAAATGAGGAGGTCCCATGGGCGACAATGTGGTACATTTGTCGCCGTGGTACCACAAAAAGAAGAAAAGAATTCCATCGAACAACACATCTCGGCCGAATTTCATGGATTTCTGGATGGTAATTACGTATGTATCCGTATATTGATTGTCTGGAGATTTCACACTGGTATGCGTTACATGATTGATCTCTGGAGATGAAAGTATGGCCGAGAGAATATCCACGAGGTGGAGTTTTGAATGGGCTGTCGTTGAAATAAAACCGAAATATGACCTTTTTCATGTGGGTTTCACCAAACAAACAAAAAAAAACGAAGTCCGCCTTGTTTTTTTCTGGGTGATATCTGTGCTAATCTGGGAAATAGATGAGCGACTCAATCGGTTAGTCCTCGGGGGGTACTGATAAGAGAAAAAGAATTATATGGCTAATTGGGAAAACTCAATAACCGGATTCTTCTGCGAAACCACTCTATCCTTTTCATCCGCTCGGCTCTAGAAACCAAAACAATATCAAGAAACACGCGATATACGCATGACACGCAGCCCTCTCAAAGGATGCAGTCTTGGATGACGGGCGCCAATTCAAGATCCTTATGCCATGCAAATCTAATCCTTTTTTTTCACTCGCTTGTCGGATCACAGTTGCTTGGCTGAACCTTTCTTGACTGCCGCTTCGTTCCCGCCGCAAACTCGTGGAACCTTGTTTTTTTCCTTCAATTTTCATAGGCTTTACTTGTTTTTATGGGTCCAAGGAATTAAGCCGTTCCAAGTGAAGTGAGGATCGTGCTATCCGAAAGGACAAGCCTTGAGCCTCAATATCCACTCAATCGACATGTCTAGTCCATAAAGGGGCAAGTGATATCGGCAAATCATCATAATGCTCCGACCTCATATCTGTGTGTTGATATCTCAGACGGCATTTCAAAAGTCGTGATATGTGAGGAAATTCTTCATTATGCTCCAACAATGACACGAAACCGTTGATCTAGGATCAAAGTGCCACGTAGAAATGAACATGATTCAAACATACATCAATCGGATTTCATAATTTCACAAAACATCCCACAATAAGGGATTAAACGCTCCTTTCTTTAGTACTCGGTGCTATCGCGGTCGTCACTTGAAGATGGACCCGATTTTCTTCATATTGGTTTGATTTGACAATCAAACCATTTGGCTCTCGGCCATTGTGGCCATCATACCAATCACGGTCTGCAATCGTCTATTTTCCTAAATTCTAAAAACCCGATGCTGTACAAGCAATACCCTACTCTGTCGTGACCACTGACAATGTGCTGACTAGCGGGACGGGGAGCTATGGCTAATATTGAACACTTTGACTAGGTCTCTGTTTTCTTCACTCCACCCACCACCAAACATTCTTTTGGTAACATTCTCCATCTTAAAGAAAAATCTTGCAATGTCTTGAGACCTCTTTGACTAGCTTCCCCAGTTTGGGGGCCAGAGTCATTTTTCCAATCTCTATCTGGTCCGCATGACAAAATGATGGGAATGTGGGCTAAATCATGGAGGCATCACCTCGGGGCCCCCTTATAAGATATTTTGACGGATTCGTGCTCCACACCCATCCGTTACCATTTCCGATTGTTTGTTTTTATATAAAATCATCTTCATCCCCATATCCCCCTCTCTCCATTCTCCGCGTCGTTAACACTTCAACTTCTCATTCTATCTGGGGCTATATCATTGCGCCTTTGAGAAAAGCTGTTGATCAATACTTAAACTTCCATATATCTACACAATAGAAGTCTAGAGAACCGCAATCATGGGGATGTTCAATAAGAAGAAGGAGGCTACAGAGTCAGCTGTTGTCTCTGACAAAAACCTCAGCAGCGCAGAGGGAACACCAGCAGCACACACCCCAGCCGATACTCCTCGTGTCGCTAGATCCTTAAATGGTTCTGCGCCAGAACATCATGATGTCTCTCCTGGAGAAGCACTCGACGACCTTCCAGCCACTAAGTTGGCCATTACTCTTGGTGCTATCGCGTCTATTGGTGGTTTCATGTTCGGTTATGAATCTGGTCAAATTTCAGGTTTGTTTTCACTCCAATATAGTGCAGGAGCGATGAAATTCTAACAAAAATTCAAGGTTTCGTACAAATGTCCGATTTCTTAGCTCGATTTGGTGAAAATGGCGAACTCTCTGCTGTCCGTCAAGGAACCATTGTCGCCATTCTCTGTGCCGGTACTCTCGTTGGATGTCTTATATCTTCTTACCTCTGCGACAAAATCGGCCGTCGTTACACCATCTCCAGTTCCGCATTCTTTTACATTATTGGTGTTATTATCGAAATTACTTCAACTACTCACTGGGTTCAATTCGCCATGGGAAGATTCACTGCTGGTTTGGGTATTGGTGCTTTGAGTACTAGTGTTCCTATGTACCAATCCGAGTCTGTGCCTAAGAACATTCGTGGTGCCGTCGTTTCCAGTTATCAATTGTTGATTACTCTTGGTATCTGGACTGCTTACATGGTAAGTCAAAACTCTTTATCGGGAGGAAAATTAATTTACTGATACACCAAACAGATCAACTACGGAACTCACTCTACCTACACCAACAGTGCTCAATGGCGTATTCCCAACGGTCTCTCTGCACTCTGGGCCATCTTCCTCGGTACCGCTGTCCTCTTCATGCCTGAATCTCCTCGTTTCGCATACCGTATTGGACGTGAAGACGAAGCCCGCAAAAACATGGCTCTCCTTAACGGTGTCGACCCTTACTCCCCACTCATCGATGCCGAAATTTTCGAAATCGAAAGTAAGCTCGCAGCCGAGAGAGAAGGTGGTGATCACCCATGGTACGAAATTTTCACCGGACCAAGAATGTTGTACCGTACACTTCTCGGGATGGTTCTTCAAGCTGGTCAACAATTGACTGGTGCTAACTTCTTCTTCTACTACGGTACTACCATTTTCAAGTCTGGTGGTATCTCTGATTCCTATGTTACTTCTATCATTCTTGGTTCTGTCAACGTCGTCGCTACCATTGGTGGTCTCTGGATTGTTAAGAACTGCGGTCGCAGAAAGGCTCTTATGGTTGGTGCTGCCGAGATGTTCGTTTGCATGTTGATCTACTCCTTCGTCGGTCACTTCAAAATCCAAGGACAAGCCGATGCCAAGGCTCCTGGTGCCGTTCTCATCTGTTTCACATGTATCTACATTGTTGGATTCGCTACCACTTGGGGACCATTGGTTTGGGCTATTGTCGGAGAATTGTACCCAGCCCGTTACAGAGCTTCCTGCATGGCTCTCGCTACCGCATCCAACTGGCTCTTCAACTTCCTCATCTCTTTCTTCACCACTTTCATCACCAACGATATCGATTACTATTATGGTCTTGTCTTCGCCGGTTCTCTCTTCGCTCTCTTCTGGATTGTATTCTTCTTCGTCATCGAGACCAAGGATCGTTCTTTGGAGGAAATTGACACCATGTACGTTCTCCACGTCAACCCATTGACATCCGCCAGCTGGGACCCCAGGTCTCTTGGTGCCGAAGGTGTCAACGGTGTTGATACCGATCGTATGTTCTTGACCAAGGGTGGAAAGGATATCAAGAAGAGTGAGATGGCTGGTCGACCAATGTTGGAGCATGACGAGAGGATGTTCCCCGAGACTGCTGCTCATGAAAACAAGCCTGAGATTATGAACGCTTAAGCTTTCGCTTAGCTTTATACTAGGGATGACTGAATAGGAGGAGAAGAGGGGTGAATGAGTATATGTCGATACGATATGAACAAAAGGGGATAGGGATAAGAGCAGTGGATGATAAATGAGTGGATTTAAGTAATGCATGCATATATTGGCGTTTGGGAAGCAGCATCGTCTGCACGGGTATTACGTATGATAATGTCGTTGATCGAAGATGTATATAGTTAATCACTGGAGGAAATTATGTTTATGGGCATACTAAGGGAATGAAATTTTCATGAACCTCACTTGAATCTTATCAGTTTGCAATGTGCCTTGCTTGATCAAATTATTTTCTTTGCTTTTATACTTTGAAGACACGTAATTCTGTATCCAAAATAGACATTCATATTACCCCAAATTATGTGATAATCGTACAGATCTCCACGTCAAAATAATTCCATCGCAGTCCCATCAAAACATACCTCATTTCCTTCATCATCGCCCTCCTTTCTCAAAAAGTACCATTCCCATCAATTCTCTCCCCACTCACAAATTGCGTCTTCACATCCCCCTCCGCAAATAAAAGCATACTATCCTGCCCACTGTCATACACCAGCCACGTTATCTCACTCGTCAATAGTGCTTTCTATAGATCATTTGCAAACGAAAGCCACAGTGCTTGCATTGTGTTCACAACTTCGTATTCGTACGCGTGGAATTACCACGGTATAGATAATGTGTGTCGAAGAGGAGAGGGGGTTCGGCTGGGATTGTTAGTGGGACGGATGGAGGTAACTAGATGAAATGAGAGGGCAAAAATATACAGCTGTGGTATGCGCCCATCCAAGGTAGAGGGAAATGCTGGTAAAGTTACCGGTGTATTGGTAGCGGTATGTTGATAAGCCTACATTCTCTCATGCGATCGGGATCTCCATCGAATGAGACAATGTCTTCGTGAACCCATTCGACTCTGGAAATGTGTTAGTCACTTGATAATGCAAGGAGAGCTAAATGGATATACGCTTTTCTCTGATCAAGTAAACTATGGTTTCGATGCTCCGTAATAGCCTTTGCATTTGGAAATCCGAAAACATTCACACGGTAACTTTTAGGCTATAGTCAGCACAGATATATCAGCGGAAGGAGGAGTATAAAAATCTCACTTCATCACAACCACAATATGGCATTGAGTTTGTTGAACCCATTGATCCGGAATTTTGTACAGCGAATCTTGTTCACCACTTGTAAATCCACCTCCTGGTATGTACACAAACACAGGAAGACTCTGATTAGTCGGTGTAGTAGGAGCCTAAATACTCAAATGCAAACAATCCTCGCTTTGTCCTCCATTAATCAGAAATTGAGGTACAATATTTGTATATATCGTCGAACTATTACTAGCAAGTTGCATGCACGAAGGAGGGAGCGTTGTAGCGTTAACTGCGGATCCTTTACCTTTCGTTTGTGGTGCTGCAAATCGCAAGTTTCCGACGGGAGGTTCAGCGTATGGTACTCCTAGGAACTGACGAACTTGTGGCTTGGTTTGGTTTATGAAGCCGTGGAGTTCACCACTAGTTGTTTGGACTACTAGGCCATTTTTAGCGGGAGTGGGAGAGCATAGCGTGGGAAGAAATAGGGAGGAATAAGCGAGGAGAAGTGATGGTGAAAACCTATTGAATGTCGAAACTTATGAAACGAAACTTTCTCTGACTATTTACAGGCAAATGTTTCGAGCATCTCTTCATTCTATACTCGTAGTGATATTAAAGTTCAGATGAATGGGGGTCGCCCGTGAATAAACCGGTGCTAGCCAAACACTTCCTAATTGATTATCCATGCTGGCGGGTGTAAATACAGTACTGAATAAGGACATCTCCATTTCATTTAGAAGCTTTGGCAAATACAGGGAACAATGTCGTTACATTCTGAAAGGGTCATCAAGAATGTCGCTCCCCCCGCATCTCCGCAATGCGGGGCACACCTTTCAATGTCGGTGTTCCGGGGTACATATAGCAACCGGTAGAGAACTTTCCCGGGTCTTAATACAGAGTTGCATATGCGAGGATTAGGCTATGAAGTTGGTTGAAAAGAAAGAAGAAATGAATTTATATGTGTTGAAGGGATTGTGGTCAGTGGTCTCTAATGTCCCGGAAGAAGGCAAACTCTCCTGATGAATTAGATTTCGGCCAAAGTGGTCAATATCCAATGTCACTTTTCTTGGCGAATACCTAAAGTTACATCGTGATTGTAGGAATTGATTTAATTTGAAGTATAATCATGAACATACATCATTTCGATTACCCGAATTATAATGCCCATACCAAATAAAAAGTCGTATCGTCCGCCTTTCTCCAACGAAGTGTTGGAGCAATCGTAGTCAAATAATCCTAACATAATATATTGAGCCACCGGGCTAGACGAGCAGCTGTTTCAAGTTTAGGCGGACGGTAGTTGGTCTGTTTGATCTCATCTCAAGTCATATTATCAAACAATGCCTCGAATTTCTCACACTCATGGCTCCCGTCATTCATATAATCAGCCTCTTTTCCCCTTTTCACGACAACGAGTACCTGCCGATGGAAAGCTTGCTGCGGGCCGTGATGGTCATCTTTTGGGATCTCTATCCACGGCAATCTGACTTCTGAGTCCTCGATCTCCCAAGCCTATCGTGTGGCCTGTTTTGTGTCGTCTGCCTCTTCTTGCGTCTCGTCCTGCCCATACTTCTCAACGGCATACATCTTACACACTGCGCTAGAGCGAGCACCATCTATTTTTATTTTTATTTTTAAATAACCTTATCCCATCCAGCTGGCTGTTCGAATCGATATGATCCACCATTCCCCTCTTCTATAAAATCTGTTGTTGAAGTCAAAAACCATAATTCCCTCCATCCATTTTGCCGAATTAAAGGTTGAATCTCGTTGTATCTCTGAACATCTGCCAGAAATCCCACGTATTGACCTTCAACATGATGCAGGTCTTCAACTATCAACTTGTCGAGTTGTAGTCCTGGGAAACAATGAGAGAGTGTATGCCATTGGATAAGTGGTAAATGCCTCGAAAGCCCTGTTCTTGTGATCCCACCCGACCATATCATCTTCCTCCTCGCATTTCTGCTCAACTCCTCGTTTCTCGTTGTAATTTCTCTCGCTATACCATTCAAAATCCGTGGCTACCGAAAACGGGTATCCTCTAACACGAATATGTCGAATTTGAGAGATGGTAGACACTGGAAATCCAATAAGTGTATCGACCATAAAGAAAGTACTGGCGAAAATGGAACAAAAAAGTGGGCAAGATAGTATGTTTGACTTCATCATAAATCTGACGGCAGGTTTGTAGAAGTGTGGTTCTTTTATCGGTATAAGATTTAAATCCTTTATAGACAATGCGACTTCCCAAACAGTATTTGAAGATCTCTGTGCGAAGCTCCAAAGGAATGCTAAGGAGACCTGGTGATAGAGTGGAGGGGAAGCCCTGAACCTTCATTTTGAAGTGTCCGAGTATGAACGTGATTGATGGCACGAAAGTAGGTAACTTTTGTTTGTTGAAACTGAAGGTCAACAATCAGAAGATAGATCCAGTGAGTAGAAGACAAGAAGACAATGGTCCTTCAGATGCCTCGAAAATGACCTCTTGAAGGTACAAGTATATTCGAATAATAAGAAGAAGACATCCCGGTGTGCAAGGTCACTCAGAGCCTTATGTATATATATAACTGGAGGCCCTCAATACGTTCAAAGTCACTCCATTTTGACAGAATTCACGGTGTGTGTCAGGAATTGCCTTCGTTTTAGTCGTAGAATCCAAACTTCGAAATTTACTCTGGCCTCAATCGATTTAGCTTGTTGGCATTACCTAGTGGGTATACTGATAATGTTCAAGGCTAATTCGCAATGAGGGCGCGCGGCGGGAGGCCTCGAGCTCCATTGTGGGGAATGTGTCAGAAACGAGACCTTAGCTCTAACACTGAATACTCAAATCAAACTTCAAAACGGAGTACATCACTGTCAGTAGTTTGAGACCGTACAGAATATCATTTAGAGTTGTGGTGCTATCAACATGTTGTGACGGATTGAAGCCAAACCACAAAGAACAAATCTCGCGAATGGTTGACTTGATATCGCATCACGTGATACAACCCTTACATCTATGGAGGAGTTCCATTGATGCGAAAAGCTATGTAGGATCATGGCCAAGTCGACAGTTCCAAGTAATCAAACATCCGAACTCCTATCCCACATCCTTTATCAAAATTCCAGCAAAACCGTCACCTTAATCGACATCCCACGTTCAATCGAAGATGCTCAATCACTATCCTCCGAACAACACACTACGCGTCCAAAGACCGCGAAGAGGTTGATATCTTGTAAACCAATACATAAGCCCTATGCATCACTTGAACCCAAATCTGCAAAGGCTCTTAGAAATGCTCCAGAGAAAAGGATTGAAGAATTGATGTTGGAGCGTTATGTTCAACTTGCGCTTGATGAGATGACGGGGGATGAAAGATGGGAGGGCAAAGTTTGTTTAGAGAGGATTTGGGGAGAGAATGGTGAGTTTTTGAAGGTTGTTTTTATATTTTTCTGTTTTTGTTTATTCATTCTGATTTAGGATGATTAGGAAATTGTTTAAATTCTAGATTTGTTTGGAAAGTTGACTGACATCGCCAAAATTTAGAGGAATCGAAGAGGAAGAGAAAGAGGAAATCGGCTCCAGAAGAAGCAGGGAAGTCTCTGCAGAACGTCATCAAAGTTGAAAACGTCTCCAAGCTTCCAAAACGCGTTGATATCGATGGAGTTTCGGGGACAATGCCACCTAAATCTACAATGATATATGGCAATATACCTGAAAGTAATCTTTCTTCCAATGTGGAAATATCTGAAGACCTTCCGAAGTTTCATGTGATAATTGCCGATCCACCTTGGCCTAATCGATCTGCTTTACGGAAAGATTCTTATGCTACTGCTTCGAGATTTGGAGGGATAGAGAGTCTATTGAGATCGTAAGTTTCTAGTTCCTTGTTCTCCTCTCGACGCTCTCCCTTGGCTGTGATTTTACCCTGATTTTACCCTGATTTTACACTTTATCTTGTCTGATGCGTTTTGGATATACATCTCTTCTTGCATATATATCATCATTTAATATCCGAATCTATAAACCCCACCCTCTTCCAAAGTCCCAAGCTAAATATACTCACCAAATACAGCCTACCATGTCATAAGATAGAAAACAATGGCTACTTTGGAATATGGATAACTAATAAACCCGCTTTCCGCTCCATGCTCTTGGACGAAGGAGGGATGTTCGACCACTGGGGTCTTGAATTAGTAGAAGAATGGATTTGGCTTAAAGTTACATCGAGTGGGGAACCGATGTGTGAGATTTCAGGGACGTGGAGGAAGCCATGGGAGATTTTACTTGTGGGACGGAAGAAGGGCGAGAGGGAAAGTGCTGGGGAAGGAGACCCAGGATTTAAGAAGTCTGCTGGGAATGATACATTGAATGTTGAGAAGAAAGACGACCTTGAGGGATTAAATCAATACTCACCCTCACCCTCACCAACCTCATTCCAAGCTGAAATCTCAAATCTTCCCACAAAACGAAGAATTATAATTGGAGTCCCAGATTTACATTCACGAAAACCTAATCTGAGGTTCCTTTTTGAACAACTGCTAGGACTGCAAGAATATAGAGGCTTAGAAATCTTCGCGAGGAATCTTACGGCCGGGTGGTGGGGGTGGGGAAACGAAGTTTTGAACTTTCAGGATGATGGGGCTTGGGTTGTCGAGGAAGGCTGTGATGATATTGTTGATGAAATAGAGGATGAGGCATTGGAAGTGAAGGATGCGCAGGATAGGAAAGATGAGAAGAACCATGGAGGGTGAACGGAGAGACACGTCAATTGTCGAATTCGGAAATACGTTTGGGCTGATATAGGTGGGAAACTATATGAATAATGTTAATTCGTCAAAGTACAAATTGGACAATTTGAGCAAGGCAGCCAAGCAGATTCTGATCAGGTACAGCACCACCATCGAGTTCTTTCTAGAATATGCAGGGTATAAACCCCAAGGACTCAACACAGTTGCGAGTGGGAAACAACGGAAATTTGTGTGGGTAAAAGAGACCCTGAACCAAAAGTGCCAAAATGGGTTGGTGTATAGATGTTTTTTTATTCATCATTTTCATATACCCCATTCAATGAATTATTCATACAATGTATCTCGCAATATACATGCTCTTCCAAAGATCAATGCTTACACTTTCTCAAATCTTCATCTATTCCCGTCTTCCAATACGAGGAACCTTCACATCCGTCTCAACCTCAACTTCCTCTCCTACATTCATCCAGGTATCTCTCGTAGGTGCCCATTTCTCCTTTCCTTGCAAGATTTTCCTTGCTTGCTCCGCGATTGATAGACGATCTTTGCTGGGCTTTTGTTTGGCATCTGGATATTGGCTTGCTTGTAGTTCTTGTTCGTATTCTTGACGTTTCTTGACTCCTTCTTGATCCCAACTATGAGTACCGTATGATTAGCCTTTGTGTATTCCAGTTTCCCAATCTGATATTATCTTTTGAACTTCCATCCCCTCGACTGTCTCCCACTACACCAATCACTTCCCCGCCAAAGATGCAGAAATCCTCCAAAATAGAAAATAAAACATACTCGGAAAAGTCCTTAGGTTCTTCAGGCCACACAAATGGTCTATCCATCTCCACCATCATCCTCTTGATACTCCTCGGTCTGAACCATTTCCTAGGCGTTGGTACTTTCGCTCCTGGTTTCCCTTCCCTCAACTTTTGCGCTTGGATATAACTTCGTACTCCCCGAACCTCTATTCCATATGCATTCCATAAATAATCTCTTAAATCCAACTTGTTCAAATTGAGGGGTACGATAAAGGAAGCGAATGAGGGTGGTGAATTTGGTGTGCGGAGAAGAGTTATTGTGAAATTGGGACTGTAGTAGGAAGAGGAATTAGTTTCCAGATGGCAAGAAGCGGGATGGTGAGGGCAAAGCGTACAGAAATACTTCTTTGCGACCCATTTTGGGCGCTCGAGCGACGGCTGCAAGTGGTGCTGCCATTGTTGCTGTGGATCTTGGGATTGGAAGCTATTTGAGTGAAATCACCAGTATCAGATAAAATTAAGCGCGGGAAATATTATCAGGATGGTTTGACGCGATAAGCACAATTTACCGCGAGTATCTTTCTCTTGGTGTTGAGGTTCTCTTGTGTTGCTTATTAATCATTGCTTCATAAACACGTGCACGTCCACCAATCATGTCTCATACTTTCCTTATTAGTAACCCGGAACGACTTTTATTCTCACATATCATCATCATCGTCATCCGTCATCCATCCCATCATTAATTACCCGTCTACCGGTACTACCTAGATAGGTATCTCATAGCAAATCACCAATCGTATGGCTTTATTGATCTTCACGATTCCTTCCCGCATCAACCACAATTTCCCGCAATGACTTTCCTACAAAAGCATTCACCGCGAAAAGCGAGCTTTGCAATCCTTTATTACTCCGATGACTCCCTTCGGAATTACGAAGTATACCACGGTGATGGAGATAATGCCACGGAGATAATGCCACGGATATAACCTCTTTCCTTCCCAGTTGTGAAGTGTGAATTTGATAAGCATTTACAATAATGGCCCCGTCGGCTCCACCTAGTAGTAAAACAGTCCAGTCTACTCTGTAGTGGAGGGGTAGATTGGGTCATTCCAGATCTATGCGTGCCTGCGTAATTTTTTATTATAAGTAGGTAGGTATCGATTGTTGCTGTTGTCTTTTGAATCAATAATCTTGTGGATTTCTTCACCTTTTTACATCAAAATCGGAATTCCAATCTACCTTTTAAAACCTCAATACATATTGAAAATGGCTTCAAACCCACCGCAAAGATGCTGTACTCTAGGTGTCAAGCACGAGTAAGATTTATCCTCTCGATGAGCTCTGGGTGGGCTTCGGGTCGGTGAATGTGAAGCTTACGGAAATATTATCTCAGGGGTACACCAACTGGATCTACTATCAAGATTGCTGATACCATTGAGACCTATGTTGCTGAGCCTAAAGAAAAGGTTCACAAAGATACTGCTATTCTTTACCTTCCAGATGTCTTCGGTATCTGTATGTATTTCCTCCATTATATTCACAATGATTCCAATGTCAAGCAACTAATCGAAATTCCCCCCCACCAGGGCAAAACTCCCAATTGATGGCTGATCAATATGCCGCCAACGGTTACTACACCATCATCCCCGATCTCTTTAACGGCGACCCAATGTCTCTTAATCCTCCTGAAGGTTTCGACATCATGCAATGGTTGACCAAGGGTTCTGATGGAAACAACCCACATACATTTCCACAAGTTGATCCTATCGTTCAAAAGTCCATTGAATTCTTGAAGTCTAAGGGATACGCCAAGATTGGAGCTGTCGGATACTGTTTTGGTGCTAAATATGTTGCTAGATTCATGGCTGAAGGAAAGGGTATTGATGTGGGATTTGTTGCTCATCCTTCGTATGCTTTTCATCTCCTTTCCTTCCTTTCCTTCCTTTCCTTGTATCCAATTCCCGAGAATACTCTAAATTCAATCCCAACCCTCAAGTAAGAAGCTAACAAACTCCCAAGGTTCGTCGAAGAAGATGAACTCCGTGCAATCAAGGGACCCTTCTCCATCGCAGCCGCTGAAACCGACGAAATTTTCCCAGTCGAGAAACGTCACAAATCAGAAGAAATCCTCAAGGAAATCAGCGCTACTTATCAAATCAATTTGTACAGTCAAACTGTCCATGGTTTCTCGGTTAGATGCGATTTGAGCAAGAAGGTGGAGAAATATGCCAAGGAACAGGCCTTTATCCAGGCTGTGACCTGGTTTGATGAGCATTTGATTTAAAGAAAGCGAGAATGAGGTTGAGGTTGAAATTGTGAGAGTTAGGAGGGTACAAGAGTGAAAGACGTAACGGGGAAGAGAAATCTTCAGAGGAAGTCGTACGCAAGCTTCTATAGAGGAGGAGCGTAAAGAAACACGAATAAATGAATATTTATGAATTTCAAACCATGGTACGAAAGATTGACATGCAAGTGGACTACTTCTATGAAATCCGATCCGAAATGACACTATATGCAATCACAACAAGCGACGGGAGTAAGAACAGAGGGAACTCTAGTTCGAGGTTAATCATGGGAGGAAGTGAGAATCTGCAAGTTCTTCTTCTTACAACACCCAAACAAAGAGGTCGAGAATACACTAGATTGTGTCCAATTATCGCATTCACGGTGCTCAACGCATATCTAATGGACCATCACTACTATAGATATAACCTAATATTTATGCTAAGATGGGATGGGGAATCTCTATATTAGGTAGGTACCTAATACATACAGTCTGTCCCGGCTCCCATTCCCGCTCCCGCTATCCGCTCCACTGAATTCTTTCCCGCCATAACATCTGCTAAGGACCGACCAATATCATCGACTATCCTATTTCTTTTTCCTGAAGGGTTTGTCTCTGGCTATGCATGTTTGGGACACGAGGGAAATTGATGGAGTATTGTGGATTTTACTGGATTGGTTATGGATAGATGGATTGTCATACTATACGAATGTGTCGTTTGAATTGGCCTGGAGGTAGGTCTAAGGGCGAGCGAGTTCTTCGGTTGGCATGATAGTTGGAAGTTAGAGGGTTGATTGTGTTATATGATGTAACGAAACGTTCTAACTTAAGGATACTTACTGATTAATCAAGTAGTAGATATGAAAATGTATAATGTATAGACCTAACACCTAACCTTTTACCACCCCTCCCCTCCCCTCCCCTCCCCTCACTTATTAAAGTAGATAGGATTACTCAGACTTGTTTGTCATCATGGTATTTATTTCATGTTTCATGCCACATGGATATCACACAGTTCAATCCACATGATAGGAAATTCAAGATCAGGTACTTGACGTCGTGAGATCTCTCATATGTGCATCTTTATTAATACAAACTTGTCTCCTTATCACAACCACCTTCCCGTCAGCTGATTCGGCGATAAGAATACGGTAGTGTTACTACAGTAATTACTACGAAGTACCACATCACACTTTCTTTCGCTCGCTTCTCCATCTTATCAGGACAAATGATAAATAATTAAATCAATTTTCTCCATATAAAGTTCCATGAAGAAAGAAAAAATAAATGGACAAGGATGGAAGCTCCTGCAAGGCGGAGGTGAGGTTAATAAGGTGAACCCTTGTGAATCATGTACTTGAGGGACATTTTCTTTCCAACGTCAGCAACAAAAGATTATTGACCAGATTCCGCACCACTTTTTCCCAAACATGAATACTTGCAGATGATCTACGATACCTTGTTGCATAGGAGTACCGGAATTTTATTTCTAGATTTCTTTCAATGAGTTTACTCCCCATGTGCCCAGCGAGGAGGTGGTAGACGGTGCCTTTTTCCTTCCATAATATGACATGATAAGGAATTGAAACCAACCGATTGATTGATTAACAGATTGATTGATTGATTCATCAGACGGACGGACGGACGGATTCGAAGAACAAAAAAAAAAAAAAGATAGACATACATAGAGGATCTGGACCCCGCATCTTAGAAGAGCTTAGAGGCATGACAGAAAAGCTTGGTAAAGCATTCAAGAGGAGCATTATTTGCTAGAGGCTATCAATGAAGAAGACAAGATGTCTTCCGGGTATGGTATTCCCATGTTCGCGGTGATATGTCTTTGACTAACAATATCTAACACAGTTCACTCAAGGACCTAACGAAAGCGATCAAAACATCAGTAACAACTTCTACCCGATTACCACTTCCAGACGACCTTGTGCGAATTATCCATACCTGCCTTGAGAAACATCCTACCCACGATGAATCCGACGCCACCAAAATTCAGGAGGAATTGCTCTCCATCTACGAAAAGGATATCTGTGACCATCCTACCCGCTTTGCCCCCTTTCTATCCATACTGCGAAAACTACGAACCTCGATAAAAGGTGGTGGTAGAATGTTACAATGGTGGGACAAATTGTGTATACCAGTATTGAGTCATCTTGGAGAAGAGAAAGGATTGGCTTTGGAAGCCAGGAATACGTTACTGGATATTCTTATTTACGACGAAGACGAGGATCATCTAGATGATACGATTACTACTTCAGATACTGTGGCGGAGAATTTAATTTCTATTTGGTTGGCGAAGTGTAACAGTATCGCTACAAACCTTGATGAGAATTCAAAGTTTATCGAGAGTCAATTAAGGAGTATACTTATATCATTTGGAAGGAAGAGACCAAAGGTATGTACACTACATTGTCTGGAAATGGAGGTGAAATTCTGACGAGTTATAGAACTTCTTAACTGCCATCAACCAATTCTTCGTCAAAAAAGACAGTCGAATTCTCGCTCTCTCATTACTATGCGAATTTATTCGACATCAACCCCCTCATCTACATCAACTCCTTCAAACCCCTCTCTTCGAGAATCTCTTACGATGTTTACAAATCGATACTTCGACTCGAGTGGTATCATTGGCTATGACAGCTTTGATTATGTTTCTACCTCACATCCCAAGCTCTCTCTCCAAGCATCTCCCTGCGCTTTTCAATATCTACAGTAGAATGCTTTTTTGGGATAGGGAACGAAAGTATGAGGACAATTCGGTATCTGACGATCAAGATGACAAAAGTACTCACAGTACAAGTTCATGGACGAAATTATCTTACTTGCTGGATTCGGAAGATGTGTCAGTTCCGGAATTGTTGCACTATTACACATTTCTTTACGGCCTCTATCCGATGAATTTCATGAGTTACATTCGAAAACCTCAAAAGTTCCTAAGGCATCAAGGATTCCCAGGAGCCAATGAATTCGCAGTTGAACCTATGGAAATAAGACAACGATCTGAACCTTTCAGACAACTCCATCTTTTACATCCAAATTTCTTCACAATGACTATTGATCAGGAATTATCAGATACACATCGATGGATGAAAAGTGAAGCATCGGATGTTGTGACTGAATGCATGGCACTATACATACCAGGATATGCTCAACAAGCTCCATTATCAAGATCACAATTACCAAATCTACACATTGACACTAATGCCGACGTTCCAGATCAACCACTGACAGAACACAATGCGTTCACACCTGCTCAATCCCGACATACGAGTTGGAGATTCGCTGGACCACCTACCATTGCGTCACCGGAAGCACTACGTAATTCTGTACTGAGAAGGGCATCCTTCACAAGTCAATCAATGCCTTCGATTGCGGACTCCCCTATCTTGAGACCGGAAAGGCGATTAGATAGTCCTACATTACCTCCAGCCATGGCTACGTCGCCTTCACACACTCATTTACAAGATATGCTGGATTCTCAACGAGCTGGCTCAATCAGAGGTGGCATCTATCAAACTTTGACGAATGATAGCGTGCAATCACTTGCGTTGAGTCATCATGCCCAAGATAATACTTCTCATGTTGATTCATACTTACAATCACTCACCCGTGCACACGCCCTTCGCTCGCCTTCTTTGAGACCCGGGACAAATGATTCTACGAAATTTGCATACTTACAGAGAGATATTATGTTATTGAAAAATGACTTGAATTTTGAACGCTATCTTAAACAGCAACATCTTACTCATATTGGACAACTTCGTCGAAAGGCTATCCGTGAAGCAAGAGTCGAAGCCGAAACTCAGAACTTGATCAACTCTAACAAAATCTTGAGAGCCAAGCTGGAAGATGCCAAGAAATCCATGGTACAAATGAAGAAAGAATTCGACAAGAGTCGAAATCATTCTAGAAAATGGGAATCTGATTTGACGGCTAAACTGCGATTATTGAAGGAGGAACAAAAGAAGTGGATAGTGGAGGGCGATCAGTTAAAGCGTGAATTATCTGCTTCAAAAATTGATATACACAATTTAAGGCAGCTGGTCGTTCAAGCCGAATACAAGGTCTCTCATGCTACTCAAGAGATTCAAGTGGTGGAATCAAATAAGGAAGAATTAGGGCGATTGCGCATCGAGGCTGAAAAGCTCACTACGAAGTTACGCAGATATGAAGCTCGAGAAGTTGAAATGGACCAGGCGAAGCAGGATGAAGAACAAGCTTACAATACTATCGAGATCCTCAATACGAAGTTAAAGGCCAAGGATGCGGAAATACAACAATTGATTGTCAAATTCCAGAAAGAGGTTCAAGAAGCACAAAACGCCAACCAAACTGTTTATAAACAAATCGATCCTGCAAAACAAAAGGTTATTGATGAGGGACTAGCTGGGTCGCGAAGACGCATGGATGATATGAAGAAAGCCCATTCTAATCTTTTGAAACGATATACCAAGTTACAGCAAGACCACCTGGAAGCACTTACCGCACAAGATAGGGTGTCTGATTTACCTATGAGTATTGATGGATCCCCCGGACCACATATTCCTCCAAGAGATCATCGTCGCTTAACTCATAGCTATTCAGATTCGACGAGGCCGGGAAGTCTTGTACCTAAAGCAACGTTTCCACTCACAGGCACATCAAGTTTTATTGCTCGGCCTAGGATAGATTCTCACAGCCCAACATCAGGCCATGCATTTAGGTCAACGCCCACAAGTACACCTCCAAGTCCGGATTTTTATGGAGGTAGATTTTCTCATTCAAGTAACTTCGATCCGGCGCCAGGTTCGTCACATTCGGACGGGACGATGAGTAGAGATGGCAATAGTAGTGATAGGGACTCTTTGGAAGCCCAGGGCAAGCCAAAGGTCAAGCCGGCAAGTGAAATGAGGGGTTATGGTCGTGGTAAGTACACTCATATTTCCAATCTAGTAAATCGTACATTGAACTCAAAGTTGGGGAAAGATGATAGTTTCTCTCTCGTGTTTTCTGAATCTTTATAATCATTGTCTAACGTTCAAACAGGAGGAGTTGGAAATATCGGAGCAGTGAAGAAGGATAGGGATAATGGAAAGGATAAAGACAAAGGGAGGAAAGAGGGAAGTGGGAGTGGTGCAGAAGAAAGTTCAAAGAGTAGTCCAAAGGAAAAGAAAAAGGGGAGTGGATTGAGGGGGTTGAGGGCATTTGTATAAAGTAAAAGTTATTGTGTTGATTGGATGGATGGATGGATGAATTAAGTGCATATGGGACGGGCAGGGAGTGAATCTTTATAATAATAAAAAGTTGGTTGGGTCGGATGGGATGGAAACAGGAATGGGGATGGGGAGTTGGAAAAACGTATATAATTTGTGTGATGACTGGTCCATTTTGTCTTTTATGGGTTGGTCGATGATGATTGATTACTTGCTTCATCTATCGTTTTTACAGGAGGTATTCGGCATGAAAATGGAATGGGAATGGGAATGGGCATAAGGGTGGGTGGTTCACATTGATGAAAAAGTTTGAGGATGTATACGAATATTTGAATTTGCAAATACCACTCTTCTTCTGACGTTTCAGCTCATCTCTGGAGTTCTCCTGATACATACTATCATGTAGATAGACTGTTTATTGACAATCGATCAACTTTCATCCATTCCTCGCAGACTACTAGCTAGACGTTTAGATAGGTAGCATGCTCTTCTCTGATATCTGGGGAAATATTAACGAATCAACTCTCGGCCGATCACGCTCACAAAGTTAAGCCGATGAATACCGTAGACCCGAGGTTTGATATTGAGAATTTGGTCTCGATGTTATTAGACAGGTGTGAAAAAGATTTACGGAACAATTCGGTCTTGAAGAATGAGATTCGTTGTCTACACGAGAGAAAATATATGATAATAAGTGAAGTTCTCTGTTTTGATCTAATTTTCGTAATTTTCGTGAGTAGTGAAGCAATATTTCAACCCTTTGAAGTGTATATTTGGTGATGGCAAAATCAACATCCATATACGCATTCATTTCTGCGAGGGGAAGATTACCGAGTACCGACCCATTGTACGGCGCTAGTATGACGTTTGCGGGTGAAGGGTGCAGCCAGAAGAGTGTAAACAGAAAATAGAGACGATACATATACACATCTCTCTTCAAAACACTACGAACAATTCGGCCTCTTGAGATTCTGCATATAACTTGCAATTTTACAGATGGAGTGTTGAAAGAACCTTTGCTTCATGGAATGAGAGAAATCGTTATGGTACATTGATTGAGAAGAGAGGAATAAGAATCAAACGAATGGGAATGATATGACCAAGGATGCCTCATCGAGCTCAACAAATATATTTACAGAACAGAACGGATCACGAGAGACAAACTACAACAATACAGTCGAAACAATGGCGAGCGCAGTCGCTGATGGGAGGAGAAAATCCGCGCCAGCTATCTGTCCCACGGATGATGATACGGTAGTATTGGGGAATAAGCAGTCGAGGATGGGGCAAAAGGAGGGACTTGGAGAAGAGGGGAGGTCAAAGACTGCGGGGAAGGAGATCAGAAATAAACAAAGTTGGGATTATATTTGGAGAACGGGGTTGGCGGGGGGTTTGGCTGGTAGTGCGGTATGTATTCTCTTAACAAGTTTCTGCGAGTTCTATCTGCGGATTCTACAGGAAGAAATATCTTGAGCATCAAGAACGATGTAGCTAACAATATTCACCCCAGGCAAAAACCGTAGTCGCCCCCCTCGACCGAGTAAAAATCCTCTTCCAAGCCAGCAACCCTCAATTCGCCAAATATACCGGCTCCTGGTTTGGCTACATCACAGCCATGCGAGACATTCACAGCGATGAGGGACTGCGCGGACTCTTTCGCGGACATTCTGCGACTATCCTCCGTATATTTCCATACGCTGCGATTAAATTTCTAGCATATGAACAAATCCGCGCAGCGATCATACCAAAACGTGAATACGAGACACCGTTCAGAAGATTGATTAGTGGTAGTTTGGCGGGAGTAACGAGTGTATTTTTCACCTATCCCCTGGAGGTCATGAGGGTTAGATTAGCGTTCGAGACTAAAGGACGGAGCGCGGGGTTGGGGGAAATTTGTAGGAGGATATATCATGAAGTTCCGCCGCAGCCTAAATTATCTACTACGACTGGAGCAGGAAGTCTAGTTGCCGGGGCAGAAAATGCGGTGCAGATTATTGTACCCAAAAGTGGATTGGCAAATTTTTACAGAGGGTTCTCGGCAACGATATTGGGAATGTTGCCATATGCTGGAATGTCATTTTTAACGCATGATACCGCGGGAGATCTGTTAAGACACAAGAGTATCAAACAGTATACGACACTTCCGAAACCAGCACATTATGCGGAGAATAAACCCGCGCCGCTTAGATCGTGGGCGGAATTATTCGCGGGTGGTGTAGCAGGATTAGTGTCCCAAACGAGCGCGTATCCGTTGGAAGTGATAAGGAGGAGAATGCAGGTTGGGGGAACGGTGGGAGATGGGAGGAGGCTGCATATTGGGGAGACGGCGAGGATGATTGTTAGGGAGAGGGGGTGGAGAGGTTTCTTTGTGGGCTTGACGATTGGTTATGTGAAGGTTGTGCCGATGGTTGCGGTGAGCTTTTATGTTTATGAGAGGGGGAAGGGATGGTTGGGTATTTAGGGTGGAGAGTCTAGATGGGAAGAGAAGGGAAGAGCACTTGATAGATTTTGGAGTAGTGTTGTGTTTCGTGGTATTGATATTGTATGTATGTTTGTATGTAAGCATTTTCATTGGGAAGATGGGAAGAGGGATGGACATTCTTGGGATATTGATCCGGTGGGAAGGGAACATTGATACGAAAATTCGAAGCTTTAGAATTAGAAATGGGAATTATGTATCATCTAGGTTGATTCTGATATCAGCTGTTGTCGTTTTGTATTGAAGCATGTAGATGTGAATACTTTTTTGGGGGGCGGTTACAGTAGACCAAGCGGATCTTCTTTTTCGGTTTTCAAATCTTCGTTCTATTCTCCAAGGTTTGCATCTCATCTCACAAGGAAGAATCAGATTGAGATTCTTGATGTTGGCATGACAGTAAAATGGTACAAAAGCGAAGTCGTGCGTCGTCTTGAGATTTTCAGCTGAGATGTTACTTGCATATTTTGTGGGTGTAGTTGGTAGTGTGTATGGGTATGGGTTTGTAGGGGGGTAGGTTGTTTTTTCTTGATTTGATTTGATTTGATTGGAAGGGGAGCTGGTGGATGTATGAGGTTTGTGGGTTTGTCTATTTGTCTGTTTGTCTGTTTGTGAGATGGGGAGATGGGAGTTGGAAATTGGGGGTTGGGAGTGGAGGGGTGGAGGTTCGGGATTGAGAGAGGCTGAGATTGGGATTGAGAGGAAGTGAGGGAGGAGTTGGTGGAGTACCGAGGGGCAAGATGGATATCAAGCGGGAGTTGGAATAATACAGAATCGATTTTTTCGATACATGAACACCTTGTTCTGCTGAAGGCATGCTTTGCTATCGGCGAGTCGGTGTCTATTTTGTGGAGTGTGCTCTATGCGTGGGAATGTAAGATCTTACCTTTCGAAATCCGTTGTAAGAGTTGAGGCCATTGCTCACTACACACTAGGTCATTTTACACCAAAAATGATTATATTTCCAAGTTTTGAACCCCTGTTTTTTCCCTTTAAATATAATTGAAATTGAATAAAAATCTAATGATCTATTAAGAATCGATTAAGTAATATTAAAAAATTTGCTGATTATTTATTATTATTTTATCTCATAAGATTTTTATAATTTAAAAAAGAATAATGTTAAAATCATCAAAAGATTGCTTATATTGTATAAGGAAAATATTACAAGTTAATAATTCTGAAAAATTTCAATTTTAAAGCTTTCTTTTTGAATTACAAAAATAGCGAGTAATATTCTAATCATTTTTTCTGATTTAAATCATAATTAAATACTATAATTCAAAGTTTCAATGGTTATTTCTCATTTATTAAAAAGTTATTTAATATTATAGTTTATATAAAAAAACAGCTTTTTTATAGGGATTTTGTTGCGAAATCGTTTAGTGTGTAGTGAGTAATGATTCAAACTCTTACTTTGTACCTGTATACTTGTGCCTGTGCTTGTGTAACTACATTACTTTCATCCCATCTTATCTAGTCAGATGCACTTCATTCTTGTCATGTTCTATTTGCTAGCATAAGCTTCTATTAAGCATTTCCTCTTGTGTATAAAATCCAATCTTATGTACCTCCTCATCCATCCTTTTCAAGTCGTCTGTCTAAGCGAGAGCTGGAATTTGATATACTCCACAAAATTTCAACACATTAACAATTCTCCCTCTAGACCTTTGATCCCCCCCCCAGAGGAAATTGAAGAAAGAGAAAGAATGCAATAAGGATAATGATTTTCTAGTTCTAAAATGGAGGTTGTTAGCTAATATTATAAGTTTAACACTCTTGGCACTTCCAACGACAAGAGGAGCAGTATTCTGGTTGGCGATTGGAGGAAGCGTGGCGGGGAGTCCGGTGCAGGTTGCTTTGCTTGCTTGGGGGAGTGAATTGGTTTCTGATTTGGGCTCAGGAGGCTTGGATGATTTTGAGGAAGAGGATATGTGGGAGATAGGGGATATATATCTACAGCTCGAAGTGTCTTGCAAAATTTGGAATCGGAAGTGGATGGAATTAACTGTAAAGGAAAATGGGTTGGAAGATCGAATATAGAAAAATACTATGTGAGAATGGGGATATTGGAACAAGTAGGTGCTTGTTTGGGGTATGGAGTTTAGGATTCGCAAAGGGGATGAGTGGGAATGGTGGATTTTTGGATTTTTCTAGGTGGGATTTAAGGGGCTGGATGGATGAGAAGGGTGGGTTTGTGTTGGCGGCGGGTTTGTTGGGGTTGGGGTTGCTGGTTGCTGTGAGATTGGAAAGGAGAATTGGGGTGAGAATTGAGAGGGGAGAATTGTGCTTTGGTAAAGTGGAAGGTGCAAGGCAATGATTTATGTGTAATGAGGTTTGATGACCATGGATCGGTACTAGTTTTGTTTTATACGGGAGAAGGTTACTATGATTATGGTTGAATGATATATGATCTAATTGACGTGGTTCTAGTGTAAATAATTCGGGGTGTATGTCATGAATGAAAATTGAATTGATTCAAGGTGGCATATTTGAAAAAATATCTCTAGCAAGTCGTTTGAGCCTTCCTTTCTGGAAAATGTGTAGACTAACTAAAACCCTTCCGAGAATCTATTAAAGAGGAAGGAAGTGACATGGCTTTTTATCATACCTACTTTCTACATACTATCCCAACGTCATAATCACCAGCAATACACCTATTACTCCTCAAATCAACATTGTAGATCCAGCAATTCTGGACAATACGATATCATTAAGTAGATTTGCAAATCACCACATTATACATTCTTTTCATCATGACCTTCAATCCGAAGAGAGTCGCTATAGACACGGTGTTTGATCTTGATGATGACTTGAATATGTTATTGCCAACGATTCAAAAGATGGATCTCGATGATCCAAAAGATAAGGTCGTTACTATTAAAATGGCACAGGAATTTGAAGGTTCCCCGAAAGAAACACTGGTATCGTCAGATGCGGAACTTGAGGATTTCCCGACAAGACCACTGGGGTCCCAGGATTCGGAACCTGGGGCTTCTTCGAAAGCAGTACTGATACCGCCAGATACGAGGGACTTCGATTCTGGGACTTCTCTGAATCTGACTCCCCGAATAATCTCAAGACCATCAGGTGCAAGAATCATGGACAACAGACTGACCTTTACGAAAATCGGTATGGAAACAGTTGTATTCTCATCCGTTCTTGTTAAAACATATTAACATTCAAGCAGAGAACAAATCAGAGGTGATGAATGCGCTTGCCATTAAACTTGGGCTTTCTCCCGCTCTCAAGTTTTATGATTTCTGTTCACTTGCCGAACCGGATTCACTCAAGAATATACCTCGTCCAGTCTATGCTCTTCTATTTTCCATACCCTTCACATCTACTTGGGATTCAATCACACGTGCAAAAGAAATGGCAAAAGCACCTTATAAAGGGAGCGGGCCTGAACAACCTGTGATTTGGTTCAAACAAGCCATTGCTGATGCTGATGGCTCTATGGGTCTCTTACATTGCCTTTTAAATGGACCGGCCCATAGATATGTTCTCCCCGATACCATATTATCTAGACTCTATGAGCAATCAATTCCTTTGTGGCCTGACGACCGAGCAATAATGTTATATAATGACCAAAAGTTCGAATATGCTCACCAGACTATTGCTGCTTTGGGCGATAAAGCATCAACAGAAAAATTTGATAAGTCGAGCCGGCATTTTGTGGCTTTTGTGAGGGGGGAAGATGGGTCGTTGTGGGAAATGGATGGAATTAGAGGGGGACCTATTCGGAGGAAGCCAAGGCTGGAAGAGCATGAAGATCTTCTGACCGATGATATATTTAGACTTTGTATGGGAGGATTTGTTGATACTGATAGTGACGAGGATACTATGTGTAGTTGCATTGCCCTTGCTAAAGATCCAACTGAGGCTGTAACTTTGCCTTTGAATTCTCTTAGTCGTGGTCATTTAAGGAATGAAAGAAGCGAAGGTGTACAACCACGTACTTTTTATGATCCAGCTTGGTATGGACCTGATCATTGGACACCATAATGAATTGGTTATGGGGTGGAAGTATTATACGACCAACAGCGATAAATAGTGCTTTGAAACCAGCGTGTAGTATTAGTTTAACCAAAAAATAAAAATAAAATAGTAAGGTTGAAAAGATTTCTCACTAATTTTTGATAGTTCAAGAGAAGTATCCAAATAAGCATCTAACTATGATACCCGTGGACTTCTCTGGAATTGCAACTAACCGTTCTCGGCCTTGCAAGATTAATGTGATCGGATCTTCATGATCAATTCCTAGAATGTAATTAGATCTATTTACTGCGCCGAGAAGGAGAATCACTACCAAGATTTTATGAGGTTAATAAGACTCAGTTCCGCTAAAACAATCAATACAACCCATACCTATCACTAGATATGAACGGGAACGTGAACTAGACTGAATCCGGTACATCGGAAGGATCGATATACTCGGCACGGTAAGGAACTACTTGTGGGGTTATAATATGCTTAAATTTATAAGTAGCAAAGTATCCTTTCATGCCATGAACGCCACGATACCACACACAACCACTACCGAGGTCTTACATCCCCGCGTTTTCTAGGATCTTTCCCCATGGTCAAGAAATACCAAGAAAGAACAAGACAAGTGTAAATAAATCTTTCGGACTTATACTCGGTGGTAATACACGATCAAATGATTGTGAACTACTCGATGAAGATATCAGCCGATGTATAAAAGGGTCCGGTAATTTGGTTCACGAGGGTAAACAACGCATAATTCACAGATCGATACTACGCTGCTGACACTCTTTGAAACGGAATCTTCAACACTCATTTGGCAATTCAATAGGTAATCTGTAATTTCTGCAGGGCTCACTTGGTGTTCGGGTTACTTCTGTCAGATTGTCGAGTGGCTGAGCCTCACATCGTTGTGTTCCAAGTGGTTATAAATCTTCCGTAGCTATACCCCTTAACTAAAAAAAGTATACATGGGAAACGATCAACATCGAACTACATAAACTGTGGCTTGCGATGCTGGCGTAAACGATGAGATATAATAAGTCTTCTTATCACTTTCATTCGTGGGAACAGTGTTCGCATGTTCTGGTCACTCATATGTGTTACTGCCTGCCTTCTGCCTTCCGTCTCTTCTCCAGCATAATATTCATGGATTCGGATGTTGCAAGTCAAATTGGAAAGTGGAATTCAGCCAATGAACACTGAGTCCTTCAGGTCCTGACGTGCCAAGAATTGAGATGATCAAATACCCCGGATTAGAGCATCAAATAGTCCGGACGAGTGGACTGAATGCAACTTCTTGATGTCTGGAAGGAAATACAATGTTCAGAATTGTTCCATCAACTGAGGACTTTCTGTGTAAAAAGAAAGGAATATCTCAGTCGAGGTGGAGTACCCCGAATTATCTGAATCATTCAACTGAAATGAGAAATTGGAAGTTTCTCAATGTCCCACTGAAGTCCGGACTATTGGGACACTACCCCGGATTTTCCTACATGGTTTTGATATCAGAAGATACTCTGATTACGTCGCAATACCTCGCTGTGTTTCTCTTGTAACTCTGATGAACAAGGAAGAATGTTACACTCACAAGACGGAAATGATTTCTAGACTCGGTGGTGCGGTTCATGGCAAGTGATCGAATTAAAAACTCATTCTCGTCTTGGGAAGGTGATAGCTTTTTCTACAGTGAGCATATAAGTGCTCATCTTATCCACTTCGAATTTTCTAATGGCAGATCTTACACTCCTTCTGACTTGATTTCTTGAATTTCCCTTCCTTAAAGCGTAATATTCACTGGCTTTTACAGCCTCTGCGAATGCTTGTGTAATCATCTCCATTCCACACATCTATCCTTAAACAATCAAGATGTCTCCTCGGTCTAGCTTCCTTTATACGAATCTGTTACTATCCTTACCCCTCACGATTACCGCTCTTGCCCCATATATTCAAGGAACCTATCAGCAATATGCAAGTGCTACCTATAACCTCAAGGACACCTACAACTCTGCCAACTTCTTCTCCTCCTTTAGCTTCTTCACAGCAGCAGATCCTACTCATGGATATGTATCATATCAATCCCAATCAGCTGCCTCGGCACAAGGTTTGATCAATACCAATAATGGCCAAGTCTACTTAGGTGTTGATCATAAAACGGTTAACCCTTCAGCTGGTCGTGCATCAGTCAGACTTACGAGTAATAAGGCATATAATCATGGTCTCTTCATTGCTGATATTGCTCATATGCCTGGGTCAATCTGCGGAGTCTGGCCAGCTTGTGAGTGATTCTTTCGAAAGTTTAGGTGAGATTGTTGACTAATACTTGCTTCTAGTTTGGCTCGTCGGCCCTAATTGGCCATATGGAGGGTAAGTCTCTTTGAATATTTCCTTTCTCTCGCTTATCACCGGACTTCTCCACCGCACTTGCAATTCTGACCATAGCCTAGAGAAATCGACGTCATCGAGGGTGTCAACCTCGCCGGCACATACAGCATGACCCTACATACCGGACCCGGCTGCGTAATCAACACAGGTGGATCCCAACCCGGTATCACTTTAAGTGACCCAAATTGCAATTCCAACAGTGGCTACAACGGTTGCAGTGTGCTTACCAACAAAGCAAATTCCTACGGAAACGGCTTCAACTCTGTCGGTGGCGGCGTCTATGCCATGCAATGGGAATCTTCCGGTATCTACGTCTGGTTCTGGCCTCGAGGCAGTGTACCCGCCGACGTCACTGCCGGAAAACCCGTAACGGGTAATTGGGGATTACCCCTCGTCGCATTCAATGGAGGAAGTGGGTGTAATATGGACAGTTTCTTTGCGAATCAGCAAATCGTTTTCGATACGACGTTTTGTGGGGACTGGGCGGGATCGGTTTGGTCTAGTGGGAATTGCGCTGGTCTTGCGAGTACTTGTAACGCGTATGTAGGGGCGAATCCGTCGGTGTTTGCGCCGGCTTATTGGTTGATTAACTCGGTTAAGGTTTATCAACAATAGGGGGTTATGTAGGAGGGGGAGGGGGGTTTAGAAGAGTTGGAGTTAAGTTGGGGATGTGGGATTGAATTCTCTAGGGTGTATGAGTTGCTGGCCGATGATTCATGCTGAGTATTATGACGTGATGAGATTAGATAGGACAGCTAGTGCACTCGTTTTGTGGCTGTCCAGTAGACTTTTATATGAGACGAAGACGAAGACGGGATGGGAGGTGCAGTCGCTACCATGATTGCTGGCGCATTTGAAGATTCATGCTTAAAGTATATAGAGTTTGATTTCTGTGTATATAGTAGGGTATCAGATTCATTTCTAACTCACTTCAAGACGTGCAAGTTATCGCTTCGATGAAAGTCTATTTCACCAGTAGAAAGATGCAATTACATCTCTACCACATGAAGATGTGTGCCAGAAGGACGTATTAGAGCTTTATTATAATTGTTCCAGCTAGCTCCATCATAAATCTCCATCATTTCTTGGATCCAATGTATGACAATCAATAGTCTCCATGAGATGAGATTCGTTCCACTAACTCATATGTAACCCTTTTTCCTCAAAATAGAACAGAGCTGATATGCACTCGAGATTCTCAAAATGATTGTCTTGATGGTTCTAAGCGGATACTCATCTCCGGATTTTACAGCTACAGTTAGTTGGTAATTAAGGGACAGATTTAACTCCATCGCTTCATATTTGAGGTTTTTGGGGAATGGGCTAATGCCACTTAATATTAAATTCCTTCTTGGACTTATTTTATTCTTCGAAATGGGGTTGCACTCTTTGGGCTATATGGATGCGTGGAAAAAATAGCCAGAATGAAACATCATCACACATGCGATCTTTTCTTGAGGCTAATTAAAGTTCACTGATTCAGTCATATATTACTTGCTCTGCATAGGTACTTGTAGATGCTACCGAAAACATTCAATCAACCTAGCCATTTTCGAGCCTTTGTAGACTTTGTCTTCTGAAAATCAGGTAAGAAAACTCTCGTCTAGAATCATCTTTTTGTATGGTCTCCGTCATCTATTTTTGAAGTATCTGCACTTGCAACTTCAAAGCATAATAGTATTTCAACTGGCACCTTGGTATCCTTCAATAAAGCGCATTATTGCTATTATATACAAGTTTGTCTTGAGAATAGCTATGGCATTAATTCTCCTTATGCAATCGACAGTCATATCGATAGACTCTGAGTTGTCGCTTGATAGATAGGTGAGCCTAGTTGGCAGTAATCATACACCGCTAAATCTTAGGAATGTGTAGGACTTGGATTCTGATATCTAACAACTCGCTAAAGATTGACTGAAGCCGATTTTCTTGAAGAGAGGATGATATTCAAAACCCCTGCTTCTAATCTTATCATAATCACTTGAACTCAGCAAGACTCTTTCCATTTCCCCTTCTACTCCCACTTCTTAGGCCACCTCCTTCCAAAACTTTCTTAACAACTCTCCCTAACCTCACAGTACCCTCTTCTAAATCATCCGGCTCCTCCCACGAAAAACAAAGTCTCAATCCCCTAGGCAACTTCACACTCTCATCTCCTTGCACCTCGAAAATGCTTCCTTTAGCTACCACAAGATTTTCATCTTCCAATGCCATCTGCGCTACCAAATCACCATCTATTCCACCTGGCAAATTCAACCAAATGAAATAGCCTCCAAAGACTTTCATTTCACCCGATTTCATGCCCGTATTTTCAACCGTCACACCTAATGGACCCAATTCCCTCTTAATCGCACTCATCATCCTCTCGCATCTCTCCCTATAAGCCGGTTGAAGTACCCCCTCAATATGTTTCATCAAATCTCCCGATCTCAAAACCTGATCAATAATAGTAGCAGTCAATTGACTTGCGCATCCACCACTCCTCGAGCTACCCACTAGACTCAACCCTAACGCGAATTTAGGAGTTGCTTCAGCCCATCCGGTTCGAACACCTGGTCCCGCTATTTTACTAAATGAGCCGTTGCTTACTGCATTTCCGAAACTGGCTGCATCAGGGATAGGTTCGAGTGTACGGT